AAAACATTTCCGAAGCCATAAATCGGTATCCAGGTTTTTGTCTCACTTTCTATCTTATGCTCGAGGTGAAGGTATATTATTGGGACCACATAAGCCCGATCCAAATGATTTACGCGGGGCAGGCTCTGATGCCGCCCCGTTGTGAGGGATCCCAAGCATATTCAGAGGGAGAAGATATGTTCACCTGGTTTTCGTCTTCTGTGTGGTCAAGTTATAACCAGGTGGCTTGGGAGTCCGGTTCATGACGGCATCCAGCAGACAGGCTTTTTGTCCACTCTAGGTATAATAGTCGGGGAGCACATTTAAAGGCCAAAACTCGGTATGTGGGGCTTTGACCTTCGGATTCAAGGCTCCGATCTATGATCGCGAGACCACGATAACTCTGTTCAAAATGATTTGCGATAGACGCGGTTTCATAGTCACGCAGTTCAACGGTTGGTCAGACAGCTCCAGGATATTTTCAGGGTCCGAAAATTGTTCCAGATTTTACTCTCCCCTCAAATTCATGGCATGACCTTGCGGCTGCTGAGGTCCCACTCAGGATTATCTGCGGAAGATAGCCTTTACATTTACACGGGGTCACAGTTTGTGTCTGTGGACAAACACAAATTTGTACCACTTGTATGACCACCAATCAACATCATGGTATAGCCTTTAAGCCTTGGGAACCCAGCTCAAGACGAGCTGCAGCAAACAAGCTTTCATACTAATGCCTGTGTACGTTCGTAAAACTTCCAGTGACAAGGAATTCGCATCCCAAATTTTGAGCTTCTCTCAACGCGCACGCTAAGTCACGGAAACCCGAAAAGTGTAATTGAAGATAATTATCGGAAGGCACGCATTCCCATTTATCTCGCGCGATGATTTACAAAACCTATACAGGTGGCAAAAGACAATGCTAAGGTTTCGAGTCAGCTTCCATCCTAAACGGTTACGTATAGTGTTCAGACATTTTGCAGTGTGCTCATATTTTCTAAAAGGGAGTGTCCAACAGTTGCATGGGTGTTTGAACTGAGGTAGCTGTCTTAAAGGTCATTCGGCGCAGTTGACAGCCCTCTAGTTTCTGAGCAACATACCCGCGAAGATGTGCAGGCTATTTCGTGCACACTATTTCAAAGCCACACAGGCATCCATAATGTCATAACAACATATTGAAATTCTGCCATTCCATTGACCATGCGGCGGTCAAGGTCAAGCGACATATAATTGTCGAGTCGCTCATATCTGCTGTTTGTAAGCACGATTTCTAGATATAACGGCCATCATTGGCTCTAAATCAAGGTTGTGCAGGGTACGATGACGTAATCAAACAACGGTGTATTGAGGAGCATCCACTAAACCGAAAAATTATCTTCTCTGGACCAGTCTTTTCAGCTTAAAAGTGTGCCAAGATCTATATGTGGGCTTGTTCGATTACATCTGATGCTTGCTTTAACATCTTCAAATGTGGAACATTCCCTTTAAAGGGATGTTCCACATCTGCACTGAGATTTGAGCCAAGATAGCCATTTTCCAAAATGTCCCGGCTGCTCACAGCCATGGCCTTTTTAAAGCTCCAAACTTTTTGTTTCTGGGTTTGAAGCACGCAAACTTACGCCACCTATTTTGCGCCACCTATTTGAGTCACCCAGGCATCTATGACGTCACAGAAGGTCACGCGAATACCCATGCCGTATGACAGAATTGTGCCCATGGTGAAAAGACAAGTGGCCATGGAAGTATTCGCGTTTGCGGCGATTCAACAGCGAGACGCTGGAATGCAATCGGCTAACGGGCAGATAAAGCTGCCGATTGCATGCCTTGATCACGATCGGTGTTTTCTCACAAATTACACGTTTTTTGACAACTATTAGCTATTACAGGCATGAGGCTAATCATCGAATAACTTAAAAGTAATAACGTAAACAAAAATGCAGATGCAAGTAAACAATACGCCACCACGGGAACATATGCAATCGAGGAAAGGCAAAATATGCACATCACGTCCGAAACATCAATTGACAAGCTTAGACCATTAACATAACCTTGCGGCACATAGAAGTAACCCATGTGAGTCGCGCCGTTCGTTATGGCAGTGGTTCTGACACGGTCAATCTGGCAGCGGCTCTGGCGTCATCAAACGTTTGATGTTATAATCAAATGATGACATATTGGGACCCCGGGACCAAATAGTGAAAATTCGTTATTCAAGGCTCAATGCTCTTCTCACTTCAACGTATCATCTGTTACAAGTAAGCTTATTCCATCATATCTGATGCTGACCTTGATATCTTCAATTTTGAAACGGCTTTTTTTAGATTTTTTTTTTGAAAAAACAAAAATCTAAAAAAAAGATTTTTAAAGCAAGAATGCCAAGCCTGCCGTTGTAGATGCCGTTAGCTTACACTCGCAAGGCGTAATTTAATATTTAGTTGGAAAGTCTGCCGCCCCCGAATACGCTGCCACCCCCTCCGCATGCAGAGACATTCCGAAAGTTATTTGCGTTAAGCCTATAGTTCAATTGGATTTCACGCGAAATTGGGGTTTGTTTCAGTAGTTCCAGTTGGTTCAGCCTTCCCCGCATACAGGTGATTTTGCAGAACTCCGCCCCGCAGACTTGCCAGCAACCTGCCAGTCGGCTGCGAAAGAAGTTCAACATGCAAAACGCTGTCGTAGCAGCCGCGGAGCTGTGCTTTATAGTTAGTTGTCATGCTTCAAGGACGTCAGAACAAGGAAGCGCTCGTTCCAAACTAAAACATACAAAATTGAAATAGGCTCATTTGACCATTATGTGAAATAGACCTTGCTGAATTTTTGAAGCCTTGCTGGTTGACCATGTTTGTGCCTAAAGCCACTCTACGGGTCGCCTCGTTTTCTGTCACATCCTCTACATACTCTGGTCTTGCATAGGCTTCCCTGGGCGAAAGTGTGACATCTTCAAGTGAACACAGAAACTTTGTGACTGTTTTGGGCTAGTTACCCGTGTACTAGTGTGCACACGTTCGAATCAGCTCCCATGTTGGGAAGACGTGCAAAGATATCGTGCACTGCATGAGTAGGTGCATTAAGTAGGAATATGCCACAGCATTCCACAGAGCATGATCACCCCTGCAACATGTGCGTTCCGAAAGTCCCAGCCGCCAAGTATGTCTTATTGCGACGTGCTGTACAGCAGCGTATGCATCACTATCGAACGAAAGGTCCGAGCACCTTTCCCGGCGGGTAAAGCGGAGCATCAGCACGGGGGTGTTCTGGATTAGATTCATGCTTTGCACCACCACAGGCCTAACAGAACATTTTCTTGCATTATCTCAAGGGCAAACGACCGGCAAACACAAAAGTCCTTCCGCCAATCCAGACGACGAAATTCTACCATGGCGGCATCATCCCTCGGCATACATCTGGTCAAAGGGCCGGCGCAAACATCACTGGCGTTTTGCCGCTGGCCTCGTGCGTGCAGACCTGACCTGACATCACGCACCTGTGGGTGACGTCCCCGCCCCATGATGCTGGTCTGAAGCGGACGACGGCCCCACCGTCACCAGCATAACGGCAACAACCGGATGCCATTCGGCGCCATTCAACAAACGCCACGAGGGTAATTTATCGCCGGATAGCAAAACGTCACCGGTCCAGAATGCACGGTGCTCGGTAACCCCGTCCGCATCCGGTAGGGGCGGCCAAGCGTGGCGTGACTAGGTTAAATCGTGGCCGACAGGCTGAAGGCGGGCCATGGCCGGTGCATTGCGTGCCATGGCCGTTGCATTGCGGACCACACAACAACACTGTGCCGAACACGGCAAAAACAAGCGCAGCGTGTCTACCGCAGTCAGGAAACATCCTCTTATTGGCGAGCGCGGCACATGCAACCCAAGGCCATCATTGCACAGGGTCACCAACATACATCAAACCAACCCGATATGGGTGCGTACAGCGTGTTCCAGCCCGGAGTTAGATGTAGCCGTCGCGCGACGTGCACACGACGCCTGATGATGCCCATGTTCTACCTCCCCCTCCCCAGGCCGTAAACATCAGTTATGAAGCCGCGACGCCGAGCTGGCACTCAGCGCGCGGGACCTGAGCCGACGGTGGCGCCGCCACCCGTGGACCCGTGGCCGTGCGGACGTGCGACCTTTCGCCGGAGTCGGCGGCCGGCGACCGCGCGGGTTTCTGTTGCGCCGTGACTGTCGCGGTGCTGCGCGGTGTTCCCGGTCACGTGGTCACGTGGAGTGTCGTGGTGCAGCGCTGGCGGTGACCGAAGCTGCGCAGTGGATCGCCACGCACGTGTCGAGCGCGCGGCCGGTCAGAACGGTCGCGAAATGTCGGAGCGAAACTCGACTGGCGGCAGTGGGAAGTGAGCTGCTGTAAGATCCGTGCGTGCTAGTGCTGCGCGATATTTTCCAGTAGCTTGCATATGTAATTTTCTATACAGCTGACGATACAACGTCAAGTCCCAGAGCCGTGACAACGAGAATGCCAGGGCGGTGGAACAAACGTGGTCCACCTCGGTGACACGTAAGAGGACCAGTCTCCAAGCTCTGAGCAGCGCATCCCGTGGAGGTCCGTCTCACCGGCTACTGCTCGCCCCGTGGACTGCTCGCCACCCCCGCACGGCATATAGCCGTCTGCAGGCCGGTCTGCCAGTAGGTGGCGCCGCTGGGCCCGTGACCCTTGTCAGAGTGCCAGCCAGACCGGCGGGGACCGCCGCTGTTATAATTGGCCAGGCCGGCCACCCAGCACAGCCAACGTCATCGCCAGGGAGGTCTCGCCTGCCGGCAACATTAATCTGACCACCGTAATCAGCTAGTTTCGACCACCGGCCTGTTCGCTGCCGTCCGGTCCCGCAGAGGCTCCCGGAGCCGCGGCGCGCACACGCGTGCCACGAACACATCACCTCTGCCCGCGCCTGGCCGAGCGGAACGCCTCGCGCGGCGCAGTCCGCTAGCGTCCGCGCCGCTTGCCGCCACCTAACACTCTGCAGCCTGCCGGCGGCGCCCACGGTCCGCGCCTGCCCGCCTGCCGACGATGCGCGCTGTCGCCGCCGCGCTCCTGTTCGTCCTCATGGCAGCCGCTCGTGGCGTCCCGGCGATCGCGCAGTGAGTGTATGTTGTGACGGCGCTGTCCGAAATGTCTGGCGCCGTCTGCGAGAGCACACGAGGCTGAAGTAAGCATCTGTTATCTGTCCTCGGGCCGCCCTTGTTGCCGCATGCTGCGACACCTCCATGCCCTTGATTACAGAATGGCTAATGTATCATTACGCTGTTTATAGGCAGAGGACCAGATTCATAATGTCATGCTGACAAGACCGACTTCTGACCTAGTGCTGAGCGGATGACGGATGTCGGACACCGTGCTGGCTGGTTGAAAGGCCCCAGCTCCCTACTGACTGTACAACAGACCGTTAACCTTGTGCTGACTGTACAGCGGACAACTAACCTCGTGCTGAGTTGGCAACAGAACCTTGACCGTGCTGTCTGGGTAGCAAAGCCTCTGACCCGCGCTGACCTAGAAAAAAACGTGTCATCCCATCCTGAGTTCGAATCACACCTTCGACTTCTATACTTGCCGGGTAGCAGGCCTCTGACCCCGTCGTACCGGCTACCAGAACCTCCAGCCCCTGCCGAGCTGGTAACATACCTCCCATTTCGTGCTTACCATGTCCCTTGACCTCTGACGTCTGATACGATGCCGACCGAGTAACAGACATCTGACACCGTGCTGGCTCAATAGCAGACCTCCGGCCCACGCGCTGAGCGGGGAATATGCCCCTAGCCCGGTGCTGAGCGCGGGGTAGCAGGCACCAGGCCCATGTTGACCGAAGCAAACCTTTAAACTCTTGCTGAACGCGTAACGAGGTCGCAAACTATCCGACCAGGTGGCAGGCCTCTTACTCCGTGCTGATCTCTGCACTGGTAACGAATTCCTGACCCTTGACTGAGTGGGCGACAGGCCTTTGATCCTATGCTGGCCAGACAGCAGACCTCTGACCTCTGGCGTGCTGACTTAACACACGCCGACCTCGTGCTGCCGAGTGATGGACCTCTGACGCTGACCTCTGACCTCTGACCTGTGGCGTGCTGACTTAACACACGCCGACCTCGTGCTGCCGAGTGATGGACCTCTGACGCTGACCTCTGACCTCTGACCTGTGGCGTGCTGACTTAACACACGCCGACCTCGTGCTGCCGAGTGATGGACCTCTGACGCCGTTCTGACTGGGTAGCAGGCTTCTGATCCTAAAGCGATCGGGTAGCAGATCTCTGACCTCATGTTGATCGGGTCACCAGGTTCTCACCCCCTGCTAACCGAGTAGCGGATCGCTAATTCCTGCTGATATTCTACGTGATGTTTGACCCTTTGTCAACAGTGTGGATCGTCTCAAGTGGTGTGACCAGGTCTGCCGTGACCGCCTGGTTCCCTGCAACGGTTACCATGGCGACGGCGGTGCAGCAAAACTGTGAGTGTACGCTAGGTGATGGCCTCATTTCTTACAGCTTTGATAACCTCATATCACATAAGCAAACGTGTGGTGCTATGTACGGCTGTGAGCTCTGAATACTGTTGCATATCACAGAGCAGTGTTTTCATGTCTCATGCGGTCGCGCTTTCCGGAAGTGTAAACACGCCGTGTATGTCAATTTAGCATCATGGGGCATCTTCTTTAGGAAACAGTGAGTCCCTCTCGATTTAACTCTCTGGGTTATCGACCAAGGCTTCATGGAGAGAGCGGTCCGCTGTTTGCAGCACCTTGAGCCCATCTAACTTATGAATCAGCGGCTCACTGGGCTAGGCTGCGGCCCTCTTTATGCCATGAAGTAGAGCAGTGATAAAATTAACTGTACTTTCATGATATCGTTATAATAAGACCTTCTCTTGATACGTATAGGGGTCTGCTATCATTCAGCGGCATGATGCTGTCCGACTCATCGACACGCTTAGGCCGTCTACTGTACTGCCCTGTGGCCTCCTGTGGACACGACCCTCCTGCCGTGTCATTGCTCTACACCACTATACATATTACCATCCGGACAATCATGGCGTTATATTTCGGCGCGTTTAAGCAATCGTGTGCTCCTTCCAGAGCTGCATCAGCTGGGCTTCAATTCAGTGGCAATTATCATAGGTGTTCACTTTACTGGTAGTGGTGCGTGTTACAATCGCGTGTGTGTGATTGTGATGTTTACGGAGAACCCAGACATGCAGCAGCGGGACCTCTCCATGTATTTGAAATCTGCTCTCATTCGTGACAGGGACTCTTGCAGCACGCCAATCAATCCCGATTGTACCCGATCCTATTGTGACAGCGCTCTCCTTGATCATTCCGACAACACGAGATTGGTCCTGACGGCGCGATGCTGCTGAGCGAGTACCCTGAGTCTATCAGGACAGTCGACAGGCCTCCTGAACTTTACGAACATGTAAAAACGCTTATTGGCCCACCTTACTGGCGTGGTAGCACCGCCCCTGATTTTTGAGGGACCTATCCCTGGTATTAACCGTTACTGCTATGTTTTTGGAGGACTCATCCCTGATATCAGACGCGGCTGCTATGTTCCGATCATACACCAACGCCGCGACCACAGTCACACGCCGCAGCCACTGAAATGGACGCCTGAAATGAGTTCTACCTCGCAACGAAAACAACACGCAATCTTCCGAGCACGGCAAAATATGTCGCACAACACTGTGTTGGTCTGAATGTAGAGGAAACGATTCAGTCGTTACTGGTGTACATCTCTCTGTGCACGAAGAAGGCGCATCGAGTCTCGTCTGCTGCACTCGCGTAAGGTGGCTGGCGGTGGTCGCTGCGACCGTTGCATGCACATATGGTGCGACACAGGTGTTCCGTGCCGGGGAAGCACGATTATTCACCACTGTCCCCTTGTCAAGCCCTCGCCCCATTGCGTACATGCCAGCTCTGACTCAGGCCGACGCGGGCTTTGTGTGCTGCCAAGTCGCGCTGACCGGAGCACTGCACCAGGAGGCATTAGTCACTGTTGTAGTGCACCATGGCGTTGCACCCTCATGAAGCGGCATACGACACGCTGCGTATGCGATATGACATATATCAACAGAAGGCGCGTTACGCAAAGGAGTTGGCCAATGTTTAAATGGCCGCCACTCAAACCTTCTCAAGTGTTGTTAACTTTTGTGGGTTACGTTCAAATACAAGCGCTCGCAGATTGGGCGCCATATGTCATCAGGTCTCGCATCGTGGGTTGTGGGACAACTGACCTTAGCACCCAGTCATGTGTGCTGGGTCCTCCAGACGCCCTTCGCCGGCTGAAAGTCAAATTTGTTAGCAGCCTGTTCAGCTGGCGACCAGACGTCCGGCCCGGCCCGGCGCGGCCAGCATCCGAGGCCGTGATGTGAAGGGGGAGCGGGGAGGGGGGGACTCATGGCAAATGGGCACTGCGGTCTGCACTATAAACGAGTGGTTGGCGCCGCTAGCCATCATTCAGAACTAGTCTTCTTTGTCATGCTTCTCATGCTAATTACATAGGAGACCTTAAGGCTGCTTCCTAAAACGGAACATGCTGGGGTTACTTTGGTGTGTGAAATGACGGCTAGTAAAACACGAATAAGGATTAACTTTGGCCGTTGGATAATAAAAAAACTCCTTTGTCTGCTGTTTGATGGAAACAAATGGAATTCATTATGAGGTAAAGAAACATCGCGGAGGCAAGTAAGCTGAAGCCATTTGAAATGTTTTGGTGTAGGATCCGCACGATCCTTTTGCAACAGCAACATTAACTTTAAAGTATCGTCCCGAAAGACCATCGAGAGATGGTGAACCATCGCACGTTCAGCGCCCGCAGGTGGCTGTGGCCGGTCGCCTGCTCGGCGCCTTCGGTGGTCTTCACACGGCGGTGTCCCGGTCCGCCAGCAGCGGCCGTGCAGCACGCTGGGGTGGCGGCCAGCGTCGCACGCAGCGCCGCGCGTGGGCTCGCGCTCGGGCCGTTACAGCGCGCCGGGCGCCCTGTTCACACGCCCGGCGCCGACATTACTCAGCCACGCAATAGCCGGGGTGCAGGGGCCGGCATGGCGCGTTCACGGACGACTGCGTGGCTGAGTAACGCCGGCGCCTGGCGGGGAGGAGGTACCCGCCGGCACCCGGAGGGGTGCTTTAGCGTGCGGCTGCTGCGAGGCGGAACGCAGCCTTCTGATGAACGTCTTCCGGAGCAATAACGCGCTGTTCATAACTCAGAGGATCACTTGAGGAGGGTCTCCTTCTCCCAGTTATCTTCAACACGTCACTTAACGTCGTGCAGGTTACCTAATATTTCAATGACGTACCGATCACACTGAACATGTCCAGATGTTGTGGACGCTGCGAGTCTTGTTAAAAATCGAAAGTTTGTTTTAACTGGAAATATGGATGTCGTGAGACAATAGTATGGATTTACCGCTTGGGCTGTTGATGTTAATTTGATTATTGCGATGATTCTGCAAGCATACCGGTGCTTATAGTCTTCTCGGAGATTTCTAGTTACAACAGATTTAGCAATAAACGCTGCAGCAAAGGTCTTTGTCTTTTCAAAAACATTGCACTAATTATCTTTTACAATAACGTTTTCATAAAAGTTAACCGGGTGCCGGTGACTGATTTGTAAAACGCATGCAAACCATCACATTTGTTACATGGGCCAGTGAAGCGTTCAGCTGAAGCCATCAGCCGGCACAGCCAGGCAGCAGGACATGACGCTTCCGACAAATTGGCCACGATGCAAACTGAAATATTTACGAGTGGTGATGCCCGTGCATCACAGCCCCGTCGCGGGCACTAATCAAATCCTGTCCAGTCAATCTGCTCTTCATCCCGTTCCCGCCTCGTGACAGACCGGCAGCCAACACAGACACCCTGGCACGAGCGTAGGTTAACCCCCTGCCCGCTCAGCCGGCTCTGCCCCAGCCGTGACCTGCTGCGCCGCCGCCGTGACCTGACCTGGCGACGCGGCTGTGCCGCAGGCGGTCGTCCGCGTCGGGTCCGGTCAGCTGGCGTCAGATCCGTGGCCTGACACCCCGGCAGCGGGCTTTCTGCCGGCGCCACCGGGACCTGGTGCCGGCGCTGGTGGAAGGCGCAAGGCGAGGTGCGCGCGAGTGTCGCCGCCGCTTCCGACACAGCCGCTGGAACTGCCAGGCACTTGGGCAGCACCTCGAGTTCGGCCATGTTCAGGTCAAAGGTCAGTCGGACTCGCTGGTGACGTCACGGCTCATGGGCTGCTGGTCACGCCACGGCTCGTGAGGTGCTGGTGACGCCACGGCCCTTGGGGAGCTGGGACGCCACGGCTCGTGGGGTGCAGGTGACGTCACGACTTGTGCAACACTGGTGACGTCGAGGTCAATGCGGTGCCAAAATTAACTGGCTGGACTTGCATATGTGATGGCCTGTATGAGCGTGCAGCTGATGAAGCATGGTCCAGCATGGTCTTACTTGGTCTGACCCATGGCCTATGGTCGAACATGCTGGTTAGTGGGAACTGCCACGGATTGCCTCGAGCACCAGATGCCACCGCGGATTTCCTCTGAGAGCAGCCCCCGCGGTTCAACCAGAGCTAGAGCCAGGGCCTGTTTTGGGTTCAAATGGCGGATATGCACCATAATGCGTAGGACGCTCTTGTATTCAAATAATATATTTGGAATACGGTAGGAGGTACTTGTGAAACGCCGCTTTCAAGAAAGTGTGGATGGTATTAAGGTAGCTGGACGCTTCGAAGCTGTGCTTGTCACGAGTGAACAGGATCAAGCAAAAATTAACGATAGGAAAGATAAGGGACGTGAAATCCGGAATCTCAGCAGACTGGCGAGAACGATGATCAAAATAATCAATCATTCGAGCTCCCAATTACTAACGCCCAATACAAGGCACTGTTAACGGGGCCATGTCACCTACCAGTTTTCTTGAATGGTTCTAAATAGCTCAGGATTTCGGCTTGAAGTGGCCGCTCCAACGGGGTTTGATTTGTTTTTTTCCATCCTGTGTCTTCTGTAGTCTTTGCATCACACTAAGTCGTTAAAATATTTGTGCTCTTAATGCTGTGAAAGCATCGAACCCTTCATTTCTGGAAAGTGATGCAATAACATAAGCTCATTATCACAAGAATTCAACGAAACGATATACTATGGCTTTGATTTTTCCCCATGACGTTAGCCACAGTGACTGACTTCTCTTTTATTTATTCACAGTGACTTTTGCTTATTTCTTTAGCGTCAGGCACCAAAACCTCAGACAACACGAAAAGATGGTTAACAGCTGGGTGTAATTGACTCGGGATAGATGATGGGTGGTATGACCGCAGAAAAAGATGGTTAACAGCTGGGTGTAATTGACTCGGGATGGATGATGGGTGGTAGGACCGCAGAAAAAGATGGTTAACAGCTGGGTGTAATTGACTCGGGATAGATGATGGGTGGTATGACCGCAGAAAAAGATGGTTAACAGCTGGGTGTAGTTGACTCGGGATGGATGATGGGTGGTAGGACCGCAGAAAAAGATGGTTAACAGCTGGGTGTAATTGACTCGGGATAGATGATGGGTGGTATGACCGCAGAAAAAGATGGCATGTAGTCGGATAGGATAGGGAACTGAATCCCTAAAAACGTGTGATCCGATAAATGTCTCTTTGAATACAGCAGATGCATCGTTTATTCTACTCACTGCTGAACTGCCACGACGAAGAAGTGCCACGCGATGGGGATTTCCAGAGATACTTCCTTCATCAACTGCACCATTAGCGTTAATTCTGCTGACGCCAGACACTTAGTGATGACTCACATCGCTCAGGGCAGGAGCAATCATATGATTCAGCCGCCACTTGCAGGGCGTAATCAGAGTTTTGTTATGGGAGAGGCACCGGTAATGAGAAAGGGCCCTTGTGGACGAAAGGCCACCTCCATGCCATCAGGCTCGTCTACGTTAATTCCGGGTGTGATTTTCTTCGTTTTGAACGCATACATGCACGCATGCACGCACGCACGCACGCACGCACGCACGGACGCACGCACGGACGCACGCACGCACGCACGCACGCCTGCACGCACGGATGCACGGACGCACGCGCGCTCGCGCGCACGCACACTGCATGCACGCATGTACACACGCATGCATGCACGTACACACACGCACACGCGTATACATATATATATATATATATATATATATATATATATTATATACATACAACATTTAAAGTGGATGTTCCATATTTGAAGATATTGAAGCCAGCATAAGCTGTGATAAAGTGATGAAGTAAGCTCACTTTCATCTATTTGTATGCTCCCAAGTGCAAAAGCCTCCTCTAGACGATACCGTTTTTCTATTTGGTGAAGTATGCTCCACAATGCGTCATTATTTGTTTACAGCACTGTACCTTGCACGACCTTGATTGATAGCCAACTGATGATGATGGCCGTTATATCTGGAAATTGTTCTCGTGAATGCCAGATGTGAACGACTCGATCAATATATTTTGCTTGGCCGTGATCACCGCATGATCACTGAAATCGCAGGATCTGAATGATGGCATTATGGGGTCATGGATGCCTGAGTGACCTTAAAGTATTTTGCGCGAAATAGTCTGCCATCTTCACGGGCGTGTAGTTCAAAAGCTGGAGGGATTTAGGTGTTAGAAGAACAACGCTGTGAACAGCAATGAATGATTTATTTCATGTTTGCACGCTGGCGCGCACGCGCTGCCTGCTTCATTTCGAAATATTTACAAGTGTGAAACGCTCCCTTTAACCATGCCGGCGACGCCAGTAGCCGAAGCGTCTAGCTCGGCAACCGATCAACATTGAAATATCATTTATGGTTCAGATGAAGGCCAGGACATTTACTTGATTCCTGACAAGGTGAGTACCGTATGTTCATTTGTCACTTGTCACGAAATGTCACGCTGTGGCTGTGGATGTCACTGCTCGGATTACCGATTGGAACGAATCACAGCAAATGCATCATACCTTTGCCTTTACATCATAGCGACCTAACCTTCTGCAATGACACAACAAGACGATGCAAGAGTAGGAGCATCTTCGACTCCTTCTTATGAATGGCATATACGCCTGTCTCTTATCCTATGTATAAAATATCATAATGCCCATGCTCCAGGCAGAAGGACCGATGGAGATACATACAGAAGTTTCTGTAAAAAACGAGAAGTTTGCAAGAATGTGAGCTTGACATACATCGCTCCCGGTGTTTTTGCCACTTCGTTATGACAGCGAGGCATGTTCTCTGTAAATTACAAAAGCTATTGCATTACAGAAACCAGCCCGAACAGATATTCATAACCGTAGTAATCCAGACTTGGCGGCACGTGCATGACAACATACGTCTAAATGTGTAAGGCTCAGTGTCACATACTGATATCAGATGCGTTTATCTGGGTCTCATTTACGTGGCACATTTAATTCAGTCACTGCATAATTGTCCCACATACCAGATGAAGTGAGCGGGATCTGTTCAATTTCAATCGTAATCAAAAGTTCGACTTCAAATACAAATCATGCAAAAGTAAAACAAAAGAAGCGCACGCGTACGTCAGCTTAAACATAAACGCGTGCCAGCAGTGCAAGACGCACTGCACTTGGTGTCTATCAGAGCAGTGATGACTTGACAGAGTCGCGCTGTCGGCCAGCCGCAGCGCCGCCCGGTGCCCTGCTGGTTGGCCGCGGGGCCACCCGGTGCCTGCTGGACGGCTGGCGGGGCGCCGGCTTACTAAAACCTTTGTATTTTTTCGGACCTGTCGTATCGCCATAACGATTTATGGAACTTGTTCCTGATACATTAGGAAGTATTCTGAATGCTGTCAAAGGAGGGCGGTTCGTGGCGCTCGTCTGACTAAGCGTTATGCCGGGGTACACCAGCGAGGGTGTGCCCTTCATTGACATGCCTTTACCCTTTATTGCTTTAGGCCCTTTTTTCTTTATTCCTCCTTTACCCCTTCACCATCATTATCTTACGTACCTTAACCCTCTAGTGACACATCGGCGTGAATAGCTGCGGTGTCCGAACCAACAGTGAACACTGCAACATGGCGTAGCCTGCAAGATCCATCGCCATGGACCCGGGTATCCTCGCTTAGGGCCTTCTGCCGCCTGAGGGACTTGCCGCAAGACCAAGCCAAGGCCTCAGCGTTATACGAGGAGCGGCTGTTGGCGCCGGGCGAAGCAGCCAGCCAGACCAAATCACCTTGCATGACCGAGTCCGGCCCTGGCCACTCGCACGCCCCCGGCGCTGTCCGCAGTCCAGCAGCCCTCAGCATCATGTCCAGCGGCCGCGTCCACTCTGTGTCCAGCCATCGCCGGGACGGGACCGCCAGTGCCCGTCGATCCGACCGCGGTCGCGCGGGTTCTCGTGGGCGCGGCCCGTCCCAGACGCCGCACAGGTGTGCCGCCTGCGGTGGAAGCCCCCACGTCGACGGCAGGCCTGTCCCGCTCGGTCGGCCACCTGCCAACAGTGCAATCGTCGCGGCCACTTTCAGGGCATGTGTCGCCAGCATGGGGCTGTGGCGCACGAGCATCGCCGGTCACAACACCGCGACCGAGGCTTGAACCAGGCCCGCACGCACTGGGCCGATGTCCGGGTTTGTGGCATGTCGGCGGAATCGGCTCAGTTCCCCGGACACCTAATGCCGGCGCGGAGACATCGTATATGAGCGTTGCTCAGACCAAAGCCTTGCACATCGACATCGACAGTGTGTCACTGCCGTAAGCAAGCTGCACGCGGCAGCGGTCTGTACGCAGCTGGTGGACACGAGCTTACGCGTTACGGAACGATCACATGCGATCTGACCTTGAGCGTAATCACGGCTGCCGTGACCGTGTCTGTCGTGCAGCGCCATGACAACGCTCTGCTTTCGTGGCATGATGACTCCGTCGCCGTCCGTATTCTGTCGCCGGAGTTTCCTGCCCAGATCGTGAGCATCGTGACCGGCTCCGCCGCCGCTGCCCCTGCACGGCAGGCCCGGGCGCCGCTGTGTGGCGCAGCAGTCATCACGCCGCAGCTCGGCAAGTCGTCTTCGTCGAGCCGTCCGTCAGCTTCTGTGGCTACCTCGTGAACGACGGCGGTCTATGCAGTCGACCAGAGGAAGGCCAATGCTATCGCTGAGTTTTCCACGCGTTCCAAAATCCCCGATTGGCGCAGCCTCAGCGGACTGGTGGATCGGCTGGGTGCTTTCCCGCCAGGCACTGCGCTGGCAGCTGAGCCCCTACGTGGCCTGCTTCGACCTCAGAAAACGTGGAGATGGGCCGAGACTGACACTCAGGCCTTCGGAGCCATGGACGAGGCGCCCATCTCACCACCAGTGTTCGCGTTCTTCGACCGCCGACAGTCCACCGTCCTGCAGACGGACGCCTCTCGGCTGTACGTCTAGGGCGCCTTCCTAAAACGTCACGGTGGGTGATGGTGGTTGCAGCAGCGCAATTCCCGATTCATGTCGGCCACGGAATTCCGCTACGCCTCTACCGTGCGGGAGCTGCTCGCCGCGGCTTGGGCCGTCCAAAAGTGTTAGACGTTTTCCGCTGGTCCCCCGTCCTCCGACGTTCTCGCAGGCAACCGTCCAATAGTGCCTATTCCTGAACAAGATTTGCCTGTCGGGTATTGACTCGACGACTGCGGCGCCTCCTCTGCATGATGCTGCTCGCGCGCAGTTTCGCCAGCTGCCCGGAAGACACTACTGCATCCCAGGCACTACTGCACCACTGCTTGGCAGACACTACTGCATCCCAGACGCTCTTTCTAGATTCCCCGTAGACGACCCCCCTCCGGACGACAAAATCGTTGAAGAGGACTCTGCTCATCAGCTCCATAGTCTCGCCGTTAGCACTGTGACCCAGCTGTCGCACAGGTGTCTCCCATCAAAGACGCCACTCTGACTCGCGTCCGCGAGGCCGCACGTGCCGACGCCGAATACACGGCCCTGTTTGAGGCCATGCTGCTCGGTTTCCCCGGTGGCCAGTCTGACCTGCCCTCCGCGCTGCAGCCGCGCGGGGGTGTGCGTGATCGCATCCCTCTTGCATCCTGGTATGCAGCCCCCGTTCGATCATCTCTCACAGTCTCCGGAAAGAAACGCTGCAACGTCTGCACGACTTGCACCAAGGCATTGAGCATGCTCAGGGTAGTGCTTGCTAGTCCGCGTACCGACCTGGGACCGACCGCCACGCCACCGACCACGTCGGCTCCTGCCTGTCATGTCGTGAGTCTAGTCAGCAGCGTGAGCCGCTCATGTCCAACCTCAAGCCGATCCGAGCTTTCGTTGGACTTTTTCGTCTCCATGGACTTCTTCGGCCATGTAGGCCAGTCCTAGTTGGTATACGTCGACCGCCTGTTCGGGTGGCCCGCTGTAGTGCACTGCAAAAGTGACGATACGGCCCGGACTCTGGTCCGCCACCGGCAGGAAATCTTCGCGGCGACAGGTGCTCCCTGCGTGCTCCGGAGGGATGTTGGCCCGCAGTACACCGTCTGTCGTACCAGTGACTTCCTGCGACGTTGGGGTGTGACGCACCGCACGTCCACCTCGCACTGCCCCAGTCAAACGCCCACACCGAGGCAGTCGTGAAACTGGTCAAGAGGCTGGTGCAAAAGGTGACTGTGTCGTGTGAACTGGACTCTGCTGCGTTCGTCCGAGATTGCTGATAGTGCAGTGGTTAACGCGTTTTCGTTAATGCAATTACGCAATGCAACGCGTTATCAGCAATGGAAAACGTACACTCTGGCGATCCTTTTCATGCCAACACGTTTGGCCGTGGAATATCTATCGTCTATGAATACACGACAAACATCCTGTCAATTTATGGCAGACAAGATGTATCTGCGCACCTGGGAAAACCAGAGACGCGGGGTTCAATTTCCCGCGGTATGCGCTCTCCCTGCCAGGTTGAGAGGCAGGCGACGCCGGGTGGCCTCAGCAGCGGAGTGCGTCGTTAGGCCCAAACGACGACGATGCGTTCGTCCGTGGAATGCTGGAGATACGGGACACGCCGAGGGCGGACCCCCGGTCACCCACTGAAGCTCTGCATGGTCCTCTCTACGCCCGGTAGTTCCATCCATCACCGTGCTTTTGCACATGAATGGCGGAGGACCGCGGATGACCGTGATGCCCGCGTCGACTCGCAGCGCGAGGCCGCACGTGATCGCCATGATCGAGCGTCCAAGCCGCTACAGGGGTTCTTGTGTCGCTTCAGGATCCGACGACTGGGTTGTGGGTCAGGCGAGGCGCCACCGTGGGTGTAGGCCGCTCGCGTGACGGTTTTGTAACGCTCCCAGAGGCCACACCTATTGGTGTAACCGCCGCTCCCTACACTCCTTCCGCCAGCTGGTGCCTGCGTGCGCCACGCCGGCCACATAGCCGCCGCGTCGTGCTGCGTTGACACCTTAAACCATCCCTTCCTGCCCGCCACACAGGGTTGCGCTTGTGGATGAGCTGACCGACAGTCAGACGACATCCCCTCTCCAAACGCCGTGTCCTCCGGCCCTCCGCCACAGCAGAGGAGGCTTGCACTGCCTCGCCCAACCCCCGTTCGGCCCAGTCTTAAATAGTTAGCTTAAGTGTACGTTTGCTGGCTTCATGTGTGCTTCAGCATTGTTTGTTGCTCATCCTTCTCGTGCGACGCCTGTGAATTTCATTCGAGCCGATTCCACTCACCGCTGTTTCATGTCCTCGGCTCGTTCGAGGTGGCCAGTGTAAGGCATTTGTGTGAACAGCGAGCACTAGTCAGCCGTAAATTGGCAGTAATTTGGTTGGGAAACACGCACGGGGAGAAGGCACGTGACGCTCATACGGCCATGCCCCGTGCTGCGGGCACATCGGCGAAGGGAGCGCACATATTGACACGCAGGAGCAAATAGCTTGACCCTTTGTAGACGGCCGGGCGGCTTCGCCACGAGTCTGCCAGTCACGTCTGAGTCGTCCGAGAGTAAATAGGCACTGTTGTTCACTCGTCCGTGTCTGTGGTGTGGTTTTGGATCAGCAGTGAGCATTGCAGCAGTAGGCACTGGCGCAACATTTCCCGTTGTTCTCCGCAACTATTATGTACTATTGATATCTCAACCACCACGCAAACGTTCAAAAAACATATATTTTTATGACTTTAAACGAGATTTAGACCACATTCAATATCAGCAATGGAAAACGTACACTCTGGCGATCCTTTTCATGCCAACACGTTTGGCCGTGGAATATCTATCGTCTATGAATACACGACAAACATCCTGTCAATTTATGGCAGACAAGATGTATCAAGTGATAACGAAAGCTTCCAGCTTCATGCTCGTGCAAATCCAGCACCAAGGTGCCCGAGTGGCTTGTGAACGCGATTTCACATGGTCTGACCAATTCGGCGGTAGAAAACAACAAAAGCGGACAGGTCCTATGTTTCAAGAATTGGGTTTTGGCCACATTTGGACCAGACTTCGCGCAGCGCGTGTTACCGTTCGGATCGGTGGGTGCTGCGCCGTTTCTCGCCGAGCCGCCGCGTTCCCGGCGCTCGGGTCAGACACGCTCCGTCGCTGTGTTGCAGGGACGCGCGAGGCGGCCGTGCAGTACGCCCTGCACAGTGCAGCCATCACGCACGCGCTGCACAGGGCCTGCCAGCGGGGCACGCTGGCCACGTGCTCGTGCGGCGCGGCCAGCCAGCGCCGGCGCACGCTAGAGCAGTGGAAGTGGACCGGCTGCCTGAGCGGCCTCAGCTTCAGCGCCAGGAAGGCCAGGAAGTTCGTCAACGCCAGGGAGGTGGAGCTTGACGCCAGGAGCAGGATGAACGTGCATAACAACAAAGTAGGGATCAGGGTAAGTTTGACGAGACCCGGTTTGGTGGATATGCCGCAACTGTTCAGCCCTCCGTACCTTACTTACGGTATCTAACTAACCATCTGACTAGATGGATTTTGCCGTTTTCGACGTTTTTACGTTTTGTGCCACATTTTGGCACCCAAGGCACACAACGACTCTGGAGTGTCATGCATTGATAAAGAATTGAACAAGCGATGGCCTGATGTCAACAGTACGACTGCAGATGCATCGTGTCACTCGCGCATGACCTAGCAAGACGGATGATGCTGTTTTCGACTTGTTGTCATGTTTTGTGCCATATCTCGGCACCCAGAGCAGCTAAAGGCAGGCATTGAACGGCAAAACATCGGCCGAACGTCTACATTTCACAGAAAGCGTAGCGGTGCAATCTTGCACACGCCTGTAAAGCTAGCTATTTGAACACGGTCTGTCCAGGTCCAGTCAGTCAATCAGCTTGTCGACGGATTTCTTTAAAGTGCAAATTTGGTACGGTGCACGTGTGCAGGACACGGACGTCGTGCCGATGCGGCCAACGCGTGGCGCGTGGCACATGAACTTTGTTAGCCCACTGGTTTTACCCATCACGTGTCACGTACACAGCGGCTGTCAATACAGATTTTCCTGTTTTTGACCGTTTTTCACACTTTATGCAACATCTCGGTGACTAGACCCGGTGGAGGTGTAAATCCAGCTTCAAAGTGTCGACAAATTTAGCGTCTACATGTAATGTGTCCCGCGCAAGACTGTGCGAACCACTGTTGCACCAGTAAACATCGTGCAAGCCGGGAATGTCGGGATTCGGAAAAATGGTGCCAAATGGAACACGCTATCGTCGGAACCATCGACAAGGTTACGCAGAAAGCTATCTGACCGCATGCGAGGATTCATTGGCTGTGTTTACCTCCCATTTTAAAGTCATTCTGTGCAATTTTCGTTTAAACATTAACATGTTCTCGGGTGGGGGTCAAATTGACCCCTCCTCCCGAAGGTTTTTATGGAATGGTTTCCGAACGGCGCGGCTCAGCCGCACTAAATCCTGCATGGCTGTAGACAATGAATAGAAAATCATCTGACATCAAAAATTTAGATTTATCTTCTAAGGTCGCTGACGCTGGCAGGTCAAAGTTAGGCCATGGTCTCAGCGCATGGAATTTGTAGGGAGTGGTCCAATCTGATCCAACGATGGGGTGATAGCCAAAGCCATACATCCCTGAGATCCTTTCTTGGGCAACACAACCATCGAACGAACAACTTACATTGACTTAGGGTCAGGCATGAAGGTCAGACCAAGGTAAAAACCAACCTGTTTTACTACTCTAGGGCCTGCTCTATGGAGCAGTTTCTCGCGCCCATTTCGAATTTATCGATATCAGGAACCGCATTGTGCTTCTTCCATGGGTTTCTTAAGATCAGAACATGTCACTGCCCTAAATTGACCCTGGTCAACATTTTATTTTTAGGAGCATACTGCCTAGCGTAGTCTTTGTTGCTTTTCAAATGCGAAGCTTAAAGCAGTCTTGTATAATTTTGGTCACCATGACCTTCAAAAGATCAAACAAGGTCACTGACCTTAAACAAACATGTGATGTTTTGCTTAGAGCAGTTGTCTAGATTCTAGTGGCCCCATGGAGACCAACCTGGAATTTGAGCTTGCTTGACTTTATTTGACCCGAAAGTCATGACCTAGGAGCCTCAAACTTTGACCTAAGTGCGCTCACGTGCAAATCAACACGCTCCTGAGATATCAGGGGGTCAAATGTACCCGCCCCCACCCGAGCGAAGGGGATCCAACCGGCCACCCGGGCGCGTGTTAACTTTCCCTAATAGTCAAGTAGCCAACAGGTTGACACTGCAATGTCAACTACGGCCAACCTTTTCACGGATATATATATATATATATATATATATATATATATATATAGATGCATATAAGTATATATTTTATAACAAGGAAATATAACATAGCTTCATTGCTTTTTGTGTAATCATGAATATTTCCCAGAATTAAGAAATTTAATTAATTTAAATAATTCAGAAATGTAATTTATTAAGAAATTTAAGGTGACGGCCGTCACCATCGTGAATGCTATCCGATTGTCTTAGTTTTATCTGAATGACATGGATGAGCTTGTAATATCCTTTTATGAAGGTTATCATGGGTGCTAAAGCCATTTCTGGTCCTTTTTGGGCCGCGACGCCTCATTCGACGCCAAATCGGAGGCACAATATCAAAACTCAGGGAAGTCCTTTGACGTACAGTGTCATGACATCTAAAGAGACCTTGAGCGTAGTTATGCCAGCCAGCACCGGTCACATTTATCTACTCCCTTTTATAATCATGATCTTTTTATACACTTGACCTCTCTTCGTTTTCTTCGACGTCGCGCGTGCGATAGCCGCTGTAACAGCTATAGCACGCAATTTCTCCCTAACACTTGCAATAGCCTGTACGCCAAAAGCCTGCTCTGTGGCTGTTGCAGCTGCAGTGTGCAACGTGCCACGCTTTGTTTTCAGCGGTGCAGCTGCAGGTCACTACATCTAGGAGCGCTTCTGGAGTTACTGCTGCTATTGAGTCTGCCGGTATGATGGTGGAGACTTCGTCGCTCCAACCGAAGTTGGCAGTATCTCTGGCTTCCTTCTTTGGGGGCGGGAGGGGGGGGGGGCAACCGAGTCTCCAAATTTTCAGTCTTGTCTTCCACGGTCCCAGAAACTGGCCAGACGCGGTGCAGCGGCCAACCGAGGTCAACCAACATCTGATCTGCTGGCACCACGGTCTCTTTGTCCGAGTGTCAACAGGCGTGCGCGCCCGCCATTAGCTCCTCCCTGGCGTGCTGGGAAAGGTGCTTCGTCTGTCTCACATTCGGCTCAGTTAGTGGGTCTGATTGACTTCCAGGAAGAAATGAGGCAACATTGCCTTGAGACAGTCCTAAGGGAGGAAATTGCCGTTCCTCCCTCGGCGCAAATGTGAGCGTCAACAGTGTAGGCCTGAAGGGGTGTTTCAATCACAGCTTTTGGTCACGCGCTCTTTGGCAGTCTCCAGGTGGTCTCTCAGATCCTGGTATGTCTTGGGGTCTGTCTGGTGCAGCCTCTGCGGTAGAAGGGCGATCGCGAGATGTTCCGTCTGCTGCTCACCCACCCGGAGCTGCAGCTGCAACGTTACAAGGGGCCCTCCAATCTGAACGCCCCTCAGCTCCCGACAGGGCTCCGTCCGCTGAAGAGCCACGGATTCAGTCCACCGCCGTCGGGTTCAGTCAGCCGTGAAACGCGGTATGACTGTCGGAAGTCTACGAGACTGAAAAGCCGCCCGAGTGGACGGGTTGCAATGCTCAGCAAGACCGACTGGTGGCGGGCTCTGCCCTGAAGTTAAGACGCTGATGGTGTTCGGGCCGATGGTTGGCTTGGCGTCTAACAGCCGGACACCCTTTTCTAAAAGACACCTTGTTCAAAACATAAATGGGCTTGTGTGTTTCGAAATTACTCTAAATGCTTTCAGGATGCTGCACACCCATCTCACAGCCAGTCTCCGCTTGTATCAGACTGCCTGCCTGGTCTAATCCAACGAACCCAAGTCCCGGATCAACCTCATACTTGACTCGCGCGGGCATGATGCACACTCATGATGCACGGCATACTTCACACGGGCATGATGCACACTCCCATGCGTGTCCTGGGCTGTGCAGGAACACTCCTGAGGGTTATCTGTTGTGATCGTAACCATGAACGCAGAGTTTGGTCGCGGCATCACAAGCAGGGCAGGAACAAGGCCTTAATGGCAGACAGCCTCGTTATCCCATTGGCGCTGCATGTCTTTTTCCAAATGCTAACAAGTCATGCCAAGAGCTGAGGGACCACCGGGCGCCAGCCCGAGAGTACTCGACCGGGGTGATGAGTGCAGGCTCCAGGTGGTCCCTCAGTTCTTGGGCAATTGTAACAAGGAATATGTTATTAATCGCCAGAGAGATGCAGATTCCTCACCCCACTGAGCATGAGCGAGAGATGCAGATTCCTCACCCCACTGAGCATGAGCGAGAGATGCAGATTCCTCACCCCACTGAGCATGAGCGAGAGATGCAGATTCCTCACCCCACTGAGCATGAGCGAGAGATGCAGATTCCTCACCCCACTGAGCATGAGCGCAATCGCCCTGGGCCTTGGGATTTTTAAAATGTTGCTTGAACGTGATTTCACTGTGCTTATTCACGGTCTTACGCGGTTTGACTTGTACCCAGCTGCGTGAGCCTAGCTGCCTTTCAGCTTACACTGTTCCCTAGACAGCCGACAGTCTCGCTTCAAATAACCCGCGCCCGGCCGGGGGTCTGACACGACCGCCCCCGGCCGGGGTGAGAAGATGACTTCCCCCTGGGATCTCCAGTTGTCAGACGTCGTGCGAAAAAATTCAAAGGTACCGTTTTGAACGTCTCGTCACATCATGAAGAATGCATCCCAAATTATTGGCCTTAGGTCAAATGTGAGGTCACCAGAGGCCACGGAGTGTCAAAAACGGTCGTTTTCATGAATGCAGCTAAAACGTGTGTAAATGCATCAAGACGCATATTGAGGGCACGGAAATAAACGTCAAGACTGTGGGGAGCCCATTTCGGATATTCCTGTTCCCCACACGGGTCAGGTCATATCAGGTCCCGTTCAAAATTGATCTACCAGAAGCCTACAACAATAATTATTTTCTTCACATTGTGCTTCCGACTAGGTTTATTTTATTGGGTGAAGCTGTAGGAAAAAGTATTTCAAACACAAAATTACCATTTCGGTGTAGCCACGAGGTCTTTTTAGGTCAAGTTAGGTAAAATTCATAACCCATCCGAATGGAAAATTAAATTCTAACCGCGTCTCTGTGACCAGTATCATGCTTGTTGTGGTCAGAAATAGTGCATTTGACATCCACAGGTACTGAAGGTCGTATAATTGTTGTCTACATTATACATAGTTCCTTCGACGCTCGACAATTCATTTGTAACAAACTGAAAACGGGTAAGTTGTTATGAGAAATTAGACGTCGTTAGTTCCACACACACGGAAAACAGGTAGTTACACCATTTGTGTATCTAGCCTCACCGCTATTGGCAACACAGGTCATTGACCTTGGATGACCTCATATAACCTTGTGTAACGTATTGTGACACTATGCATTATAATCAGTGCAAGAAGACAACAAACGGCATATTTCGATCAATAGAGATGATTTTCTTTGTTTATGATCACCTTCGGCCCTTGACCCTCAATGTTGACCCTGAATTTGAGCCCATGATAACAAAAATGACTTGCACAAATGGACTCCCTGAAGAAAGCTCATCATAGCTAGCTTATCAAAGACGGTGTCAGACGACCCTCCAATTCTTCGAAAAATTAACTTAAAAACTGGACTAAAATTCAAGATAACTTTGAAACTGGACAAAAATTCAAGACGATGATGGTGGCGGCCGCTATCTTGGGTTCTGAGAAATGCTCAAATTTGTAGCAGTAACAACTAAGCTAAGTTGAATTTTCTAGCTACATAAAACATATTTCCGTGAAAAAGATTGCGGTAATCGACATTGCAAGGTCTGATGAAGTAAGTACAAGAATAACAGCTCGACTATGAAGGTTTAAAAATGATCTGTTTTGCGATGTCTAGATGCCACCGTTCGATCACCCAGTCGCCACTGCTGAGTATTTTCAGTAAAACGTCTGCAAGCACACGCGCTGTAATCGGTAACAGTCACCGGCATTTTATTCAGCTTCCGGTCAGGCATTCGTTGTGAGTGGAAGAAGGAGCTACAGTAACTGTCAAAATATATAAATACGTCGTTCATAGTGTTAATTTAATGTAGTGTCATTTTTCAATAATTTGAAAACATGATTGCCCATTAGGAAATGCAAATCCATCAAATTGGGTGAGCAATAAGCTGCAAAGGCTTATGAAAATGGGTCCAGAAACTGAGGTTGTTTGCAATCGAGCAGTACAGCCACGAGAAGAAGTCGGTTCACCACTTACAGTATCTTCGTGTGATGTGTTTTAGAACTGCTACAGAAGGCATCAGAGGCATTTCAGCACCGTTGATAAGTAGCAGCTAAAATATAGCGAATCTTTGAAGTGTATGAACCGCACAACAAAAGCCAATTCACAATGAACATATTGATATTTTGAGAAAAGCCTTTGAAAGCTGAAGCATGATATCTGCATTCGTAAGCCTTTGATGTTCTCGTACCGTACTGATGTGTCGCTGCATTTTACGGTCTCATCCGCTTGGCCGCAAGTTTATGTGGCGAGCAATCCGGATACCCGATGAGACAATCGCAGCGGCCGTCTGCCCGCCCGCTGTCACCCTCCCCTCCCCCCCCCCCCCTTTACTCCGTGTTAACCGTCACCCGTTTCAGATGGTTACGCGGCGGACGCGGCGAAGGTCGCTGTGCCATGGCGTCTCCGGCAGTTGCGCGCTCAGTACCAGCTGGCAGGAGGCTCCCCGGTCGTTCTCGGCGATCGGCGTGCCCCTGGCGGCCGAGCGCGAAAGGTCGGTGATGGTGGTGCTGAGTCCGGCCGGCTCGCTCCTGAAGGCGGCCACCGGGGCGCCGCCCAGCTCCAACAGGCTGGTGCACCTGGAGCTGTCCCCGAGCTACTGCGAGTCGGACCCGGACACTGGCTTTCAGGGCACGGCTGGTCGGCCCTGCCGCAAAAACAGCTCAGGTCAGTCGGCTGGGGCGGGGAAGGAGGCGCCCACGGAGCGAGAGGCCTCTGTTGGCGGGGAATGTTTCAGAGGTGTGTGTTGAGAACATCGAGCAGATAGCTCGGGGCTCTATCGGAATTGTTTTCATAAGCTCGCACTGACAGCTCACCAAATCTAACAACGGCGAATTCACGGAATTTTGATTTTACCCGGCGTACACTGTTGCATGGCCCACCACGGTGGGGAAAACAGAACACTTCAATTTTTAAGCTTGACTTTTGGCTTATTAGCATGCTCCTTGAAGCTTTCATCCTGCCCATCCCAAAATTCGCTTTTTGTTCGGATGTGAGCAATTTCAGCCAGTGATGACCATTTCAGGGCATTTCAGAGCTATGGGATGATGTAAAGTGAATAACGGTGGAGTAAAACTACATGCGCGTTGGGGTCCATCCGTCGAGACTTAGCCCGCGCAGGGAGCCCTATACGGGGTATGTGCTCGGCGTGCGGACGGGGCTCCCACCAGGGGGCACTTAAACGCACTTCAGGCTAATGCATGTAGTTTACCCCGGACAAACGGGGCGTCGCAAGGATGCAGGATAAACCGAGAATGACGAAAGAACCACTAATGACGAAAGATGTCCCAAGATACGACTCCGAGTCTGTCTTTCTACAGCCATAGCTGTAGTTCACGTGACAGTTTATGTGACTTTGCAGACAGGCGGCCTGATGCTGTGTGCTCTATCTGGTTGCAGTGGCGGGCAGCTGCGCTGACCTGTGTTGTGACCGAGGCCACAGCTCGCGGGTGGTACCCCAGGTCTTCTGCTGCAACTTCCACACGAACTCGGCCAAGCCCAGTCGCTGTCGACACCAGACCCGCGTCAGGACGTGCAACTAAACGCTCCGACATCCACGGCGTGATTCAGATCATGCTTTGGCGTGTGGGCTTCCTCTGATTCCTGTAAAACTCGCTCAGGGGCGGAGCTTTGCGACATCCTTTGCTTCGCTCAGGTTGATCATAGGTGGCGCTGACCGCGATGAGACAGAAATGACTGCGCTGGCACTGTGTCTTGATGTTGTGAACATTGATGCTTTCAACGACCATGTTCGAGTCACTGCGATGATGTCGACGCGAGGTGAGGTTCGACTCACCAATTTGTATGTTCCATGTAATAGGCTATTAATCCGTGATATACAATATCCATCCTGCAGTGAGGAATGTACGGTATTATGATGATATTAAGATTTAGCACATTGTCCCGCTGTGTAGCTAGTGCTGTTAGTGATGTTGGACCATATCGTAGGAAGTATCATAATTTGCCGAGATGCTTTACACCGTCTGAATGGTCTGTCTTAGTGTAGCTTTTTATTTTCGGTTTTCATGACATGGGTTCAGATGTACACTCAGCACGGTTCAGTAGTGCGTCCTATGAGCGTTCGGACCGAGATCTTCACGCATTACATTAATGATGCCATGGCAGGATTGGTCCAGCACTCCAGGCTCTGGATGGCACCGTAAAACGGATAGCCGAAGTGCGGGACATTACCAAAGTCTACCAGGCTTTAAACCATCGGATTAGGCTCCTTGCGCCGCACAGATGTTTACTCCCAGGTCCTCGGTATACCACCGTGCCACTCACTCCACCGAAGCAGGCCGGCTAGAGCTGGCAGGGTGCCGAGTGGCGTGTTCGCTGAGGGGTTTCCGCCACCGAGCGTCCCTCTTGTGCAGCCGGCCGCCGGTCGGTGTGGCTGGGGGCCGCTCACTGCCTGCCTTGAAGCGTGCCGTGGGTGACACGGATAGCTGGGCGGATACTTGAGGTGCAGTGAAATTGTTCTTGATGCATATTCATGTTCTTACGTCTTTTTTGTTTTTTTTCGTGTTTTTTTATTTCTGTCGCTTTGGTGTCATTTCGTCGCGCGAATCGTGTGTCTCGGTGTATTTAAAGTAATTGCGTATCTGGCTTTGTTTTGTAGTGTACAGGCATTGGGCAATACACTTTTCTCTAGTGTTTTGCAATCATGTGGTCACAAATCTGTAAGAGCCATGTTATGTAAGGAGTCTAGGTGAAATACATACATACATCCAGCAGCTCAGCTGACGCCCGAGCCCTGCGCGTTTTTATGATTCGTTCCAGACCAATTGCGTGGATGGTCGTTTTACGGAAGCACCGAGCCACATTCACCAAGCTCCAGAAAGGATATATGTTTTGACATGTCTACTTGTTTGTGACAGCTGAAACCCATTAATACGCAACAACTGTCCCTGACTACGCTGTTTCAAGCGATTCGCCCTCATTCGTTATGTTAAGCTGCCGAGAAAGTTATAACCAGGGGAAATAACTGATAAATCATTATCTCTTGGATCGATCGCTAATGACAGCTGTTTGTGGTGTCGAGCGATCCGGCATCGCCCGGCTTGTTTTGCCCCCTCGATCACCTGAGGTCTGTACCAGTGGACCCATAAAAGGGTGGACTCCGAGTATATCAGAATTGAATAGTCAAATGACCACAAATCAAGCGAGAATTGATAACTATGGTCAGTTTTACCAAGAAACCGTTTAGCTAACACATGTCACTTGACTGATGACGTCACAAGTCACAAAATTATTTCAAAACTCACGAAACTCTTGTACTTACTTCTGATCTGTCAGCCAGAGTACTTGTTAAAGACTCTGTTTCTAATCAAGTTAGTAATTCTAACTACCTGCGCAGGATTGTAGTAAATGTACATTTACCTTGAATGGAATCAGCAGTTTCTGCAGTTCCGTTTCGTTGACCTAATATTTCATATGCCCCAAAAATTTCCGACAGATCATGTTTTTTCAGAAAACCCTAAAAGTTTTACAACTAAGGGCGCTGTTCAAATGGCGCAAGTATCGCTGGTGTTAGTCAACAGTCTTTTCATCAAGGAGTTCGCCAGCGCTGGCAGTATATGTCTTCGGCTATTATGCAAACGATGCGTTTGTTTATCGTTGGCATCGAGCTTTGGATTACTTTGGTTTACGAGGGACGGGGTGGGGGTTCGGGGGAGGATTCTACTCGTTCGACCCACGCCTGCTCATTGATATTGGTCTGCTAAAATATATACATTTACACGAACTTATGCCGCATTTGACCGTGGCTTTCCATGCCTACCCTACCAAAAGTGTATATCAGGGCTCTTTGCAATGTTGAAATGACCCATTGATCTTATGATGTGATGTGACCAATGACCATGAAATTGGCCCATTTCTAGGAACTTTGACCTCATTTGCATAGAACTGTGAGTTTTGCTATAAAATCCCGGTCATTGGTGAAGCGCACTGATAGCCATGGAAATGATCGGTAGCGCAGGCGTGAGCCTTGCCCTTCCTGGAATATACAATCTATTACACAAGTAGAGGACACAAATGGTACTGATGATAATCTGATTTACGGACTTGATGTTAACACCAAATAGTTAAGTTATTTGAAATAATTGATGCCACATGCAATACCCGATCAGTCATTGTCCTGCATGTCTTGCAATGTCTGTACGTGGTGCCTCACTTCAAATGTCAACTAAGATATAGCTGTGGTAAAGTTGTGTAATAGTTCCTGCCATCTGTCTTTACCTTACAAGCATGTCAACGTCTGGGCATTTTCGCGATAATCATTGCTCATCGGTCTAGCGAAGCACAGCGATCCTCTGAACACAAACAGACTTCTCGCAATTTTATAATGCCACACATCTGATGTCTTGCAAATGGCGTCTTCAGCCGTCGAGCGTGTGGACGGAGGCCGCACCTCTAGCTCCCAGACCACACTGATTGTGTGAAAGACACTTATCTAAATATCCAATAATTTTCAGCAATACTTGCCCGCTAGCATGTGCATTCTGTCGGGGCAACGGTGTAGATGGGGTTCGGGGAAGCACTGACACTGGCTGGGCGGCAGGTGCTCGAGCCGACGGCACTACTGTGAGACGGAAGGTCTTCAGAAGATCAACGAGCTGAGCTATCGTCATTTAGTGCTCTGGAATGTGATGGGAGGCGGTGACAGAAGCTTTGGGTGCATAGAAACTTATGAGCGACTATTTTTGTGTGATTCACGCACCTCACACAAATATTTTTTGGGTGGTTTCAGCGGCACAATTGTTCTTTCCTTGGCAAAGGCTAGACGCGATCGATAGCACATGGAGTGGGGCGTTTGGTGGTGTCCACAGTTTGCGCATCACGGCTTTTTTGCAGGGCAGTTTTCAGAGGCGTACTCCGGGGAGGCGCACTTCCCACACACTCCATGCTTTCGACATGTGTCCCTCGTGTGTCCGAACCTCTGACACCTAAAACATCACGTGGGTTTTGGAATGAAGAGGCGCCCCTTTGCCCTCGCATACCTTACGCGTACTTCCACGTACTTAAGATAAGTCAGTTCTATTAAAGATTAGAATGATGTTGTTTGTCGGGATCAGCACACTGCTCCTTCGCGACTTAATGTGACGTGCGTCAGTCACACCAGACTTCGAGAGACCGTTAACTATCTCCTCTCCACTAACGTCCCTGAGGTCACAGCAGTTAGTGTTTTCTTTGGATGAGGTCTTGGCTTTGTGAAATTCCACGGTAATAGCCAGTGATGTGTGGCACTTACCTTCAACGTCCAAATACTGCACACGAGTCTGCCAAAAATTATTGCTCGCCTCGCTTCTCCACCACTTCTGAACTCAACCTCAATAGCACCGTCTCTACGTTCGTCGCACCTCAGAATATCACCAAATTTGTCGCAACTGTATCGTCGCTGAAACGGCGAGAGGGAGGACAGGGGTCACCGCGAAATATCAAGATCCGGAGGCTGGGCGCCGCGCCATTTTCGCTCGGGACTATGTTGTTCCTCTTACCAACGGCGAGAGGGAGGACAGGGGTCACCGCGAAATATCAAGACCCGGAGGCTAGGCACCGCGCCACTTTCTCTCGGGACTATGCTGTTCCTCCTACCAACGGCGAGAGGAAGGACAGGGGTCACCGCGAAATATCAAGATCCGGAGGCTGGGCACCGCGCCACTTTCGCTCGGGACTGTGCTGTTCCTCCTACCGCAAAGGGGACGGGAGTCTTTTTGGCTTGATGTTGTCATGAGATTTGTATGAAACATTTGGTACCGCAGCTCTCCACCCATCTCAAAGCTTGACTGGGGGACGGCCCAATCACCCAAACAGGGATGCTGCTGCCGGAATTATCGATGTGCTACACCAGGCGAACGACGTCTCCCACACGGCCAGGTGTAATCGGGGAGAACTCTTCCCGTCCTGACCGCGGTTCAGCGCCGCTGCGTCCTGCCGAGCCTAGTCTTTGAGACAGACCCCCGGACAGCTGCATACGTTATGATTACGAGCGATGGTTGGGCAGTATGGTAATGTTCCGCAGTATGATCATGTTCCGCAGTACTCCTCTCTCCGCTCCCGCGTGGCTGCTGGCTCGGCCAACTTCCGCTGGCTTGTCCACCGGGCGCAGTCGGGCATCCAAGCGGAGAACCGCGATAGGCACCCGGCATGCAAGGCAGGTGACAAGCTGCTGGACTAGTGTGTGGACTTATGGTCCCCCACGCTCACAGATATCTTGGCCAAAGTGGAGTTTGAGACGTGCCAGCCTGACCCGCGCGACGCGCCCCCCAGCCATCAGGATCCGATCAAACCGGGGATGCGGGCAGGGGGCGGGTCGACCCCAGTAAAACGAGGATGAGGAGTGGTGAGCGGGCAGGATGCGGGAGTGGCGTAGCAGGAGCAGGAGTTCACGAACCGGCAGGGTCACTAGGCCCTGAAATGAACAGCTTGCGCTGTCCACCTGTTACAGGAGCTGGGACTAGAGGGGCGCTGCTCCCATACACCGCCAAAGCCGGTGCCCCTGCGTGGAACGGGTGACAGTCAGGACATGGTTGCAGCGGAAACAAGTCTTAAAGTGAATTTAAAGCAAAAGCGACAAGGAACATTTGGTTTTTGATCGGTTAGAGAATCCAATTGGATTACAACTAGGTCCATCGCTCTTGGATGATTAAAAAAGTCAGATCATGATCAACACCAAGCAGCTGTTGAGTTGAAAGCTTGCTTTGAGGGCATAGTTTTTTACGTTTACTGGAAACTACTTTATCCCAAGCATGTGAACAGATGTCTTATGTTCACTTGTGTGGACCAAGGGAAGTGATCAGGTAAACAACCTACAATGACTTTCATTGACATTTCGTTTTGAGGAGCTTACCGCATGTTTTAGTTCTTAAAGCTGGCTTAAAATGCAAATACCCAAACGATTTTCAAAGACTTTTTTGGTCACTTCAGCTTTCCAAATCACAATAATGGTCGCTGAGCTGAAAATGCCAATATTTTGCCATGCCCGCTATGCCTCGCTATATCTGTAAACCTAGAAAGAGTGCAGAGGGCTGATTGCGTGAGAACGTCTGAAGGCACTTTCAATGCTGATTTCGAGCCTGCCTCTTTATCTTTTTCGCGTGCATGATCACAACTGGGCGCCAAATGACCACTGCAGTCTGCGCACCCAAAACACCAATATACAACAACAAACATGATCACGACGTAGAGATGTAAAATCCCGCTCAAATGAGTTAACATGCCCACAAATGAGTTCTACCTATCCCTAAAATTTGTGTCTCTATCTCTGTGACTTGTTGATATATTCGGGTAGTTAAATCTATCCAACACCCGAGCACGTCCTATTTAACCGGCCACTGATCCAGTCGAAGAAACTTGATGATAAGCTATTGAGTAACGAGAACGTCTGCGTGAATTTTGATGTCTTTTATGCTAAACATGCCTGCAATATTACCCCGTATTGTCTGTATTTTACACTTGGTCAGTAGAAGTTGGATCTGGCCTTGACATGGTCTACCTCACGAGCCCGCGGGCTGTGTAACTCCCTGACCCACCCACAGATGGCAGCAGGGTGGCAAGTGCCGGCTCGGGCGCTCTCTTCTACGGCCGGGCTCTAAAGCCGGCTCAGTGGGTGAGCGGCGGCCGGCTCCAGACCCGCTCCGGCGTTCCGGCCCGACCAAGGCTCGGCACGGAGGCGACGGCGCACTGCTGTCTGACACCAGCCACCTCCGTGTGACACCAGCCACCTCCGTGTGACACCAGCCACCGCCGTGTGACACTGGCCACCGCCGTGTGACGCCGACCGCCTCTGTGCCTCAGGACAGGGGCTACGATACGCTACTGGGTGCCTCGGTCGTCGACACAGCCCTGGAGCAGCGGGGATAGGACAGCGTGGAAGGTAGGTCCGCGTCGGCATGTAGTCCACAGAAGCAGGGGTGCGTGGTGCGCCCAGTGCTCCACGGTACGCCACCGTTGTGGGTGTACTGCCGTTGTTTGTGGAGAAGTTTTGTATTGGCTGCCAGGTGTGGAGCTCACGCTCGGCGCAAGGTTGGCAGAATAATGTGGGTTTATTGTTAAAACAGTTGGATTGTATGCAACGGCAGGCTGCCTGGTGCCAGCATCATGGTGACATGTTCAACATTCTCCTGTAGATCGATGCTTTTAGATCGCTTGCTCGTGATTGCAGTAAATACCTACGTGCAAACTTTGGAAGGATAATATATTACGATATTCTTTTACCGTTTGTACACTCTTGCTTCAGCATACGATGCCTCACTTCCCGCAATAACTACATAATCCTTACGGCAGGGCGGTATTAGGAGTGCTCCATACTAACTAACATTACTAACAGGGCGCCGTCCCAGCTAAGCCATGCACAATGCACAGTGATAGCGTAGGAGTTTTTTCTAAGCAACTCACTGATAAATGATGTGTCTAACCAAATAACGCCGATATTTTCCCGGGTTTTACCTACACTAACCAAACTTAACCCAACGTCCAACGTAGCCTCAGGTGACCCGAACAAACCTAACCTAACATAACCTAGCATTTTTCTTGCTACCGCAACGGGGACTTCGTCCTATGCTCGGCTGACTCGTCGGCCGCTTAACTCACTGGTCTACCAATCATCGATCAGCGCCATCTTTTGACGGTGTTGCCTACTACGGATGCCATCGCCAGTATGAGATCGCTATCATGCTAATGATGATAAGATGGTGCGTTCAGTGGTAAGATGATACACTGCCGCTGTTTTCCGACTTTGGTTGGTATATGGTGGTCTGAAGAAGTCTAATACAGTCGTCATATAGACAGGGTTATATTCCGGGAGGAGGTTCTCAATTCACACCGTTTGCTTATCTCACCTAACCTAACCGAACCTAACCTAGCCTATAACTAACCTATACCTAACCTATAACTCGGCTTTATTTTGGCGCAATGTATAGCCAATAGCGTGCTTTCTGGAGCCGATGCGGGCTGTAGATACGCATATCCGAAATCGGAGGTGCGCATGAGTTACACGCCTAAGCGACGTTAGCATGCCGTTCACACCAATGCACAATCACACATCGGTACGTCTCTAACAGGAGCAGTGCATCCTCGACATACTCGCAAGCTTTGTTAACAAATGAATGAATACAATGGATCATTTGAGTACACCGGTGCCATTACGGTCGCGTAATCACACGCCAAAATCGCTATAAATTCGCTAACATTCTGTTCCGCCGACAGTCATTTTGAATGCGTGCGGTCATAGATGGGCGCTGAATGACAGCTGCACTCCGCGTACCTTAAGACACCAGTAACAGCCCATGCAGTCACGCGGTTATACCTCCGTTTTCCGAAGCGCTCTCAACCTCATATTGCCACGTACTTAGTGTTGCTGTATTCGTGACACGGTGTTCTTTATTTCTCTTAACCAACTCACCATGAAATGTATAGCGGTCATCAGTTGGTTGATGCAGATTATGCAAGAACAACGATGTAGCTGGATGCCCAGCTGGACAACGCTTGCAACTTTTTACACACACCCTTTGAATATGCACTGCTTATAGCAATATAAGCAATACCGCTACGAAGTAGACCACGCTTTTTGCGAATTAAGACATTGTCGGTGCCATTTTTTAACCACAAGGATCATCATACCTCCTTCATGACGATCAAGTGGTGGTTGGTTTCTATGCGCCGATGAGAAAGCCGTTCAACAGAGTTTTTAATTCACCGGAAATTACTCCGGTGGTACCTGTGTCAGATTCGCTAGTAACATGCCTCGGCGTTCGAGATGAGTGGATACGACGCGAAATTGTCGAAGAGGTATTCATTCAGAGGCCCCATGTGTATGCCCATGTGAATGGGACCTAGAACAATAGTCGATGGTAACAATAGAAGTTATGAATGTGTGGTGACGTGGAATCCCAATTTTCGCAAATACTCCATTTTTATTCGATTGGCTAACTGGGACACCCGTTGATGTCCGTGTGATGAAAAAAGGTATACTGCACTGCGAAGCTACGACTTGAGAATGGTGTACTTTGAATTATGATCGAAATTAATCTCACTTGTGTTGTGAGTATTGGTATTCATTCCTGTATTGAATAGTGGACACGTTCCAACGAAATTGCTAGCCACAAATCATTTTATAGAATGCAAATATAAAAATGTCACACCACTGGGTGTTCAACTTGAAAGAAACCGAGTGCACTCGAGAACAATCAATTTGCAGAAATTCCGCACCAGTCTTAGATTACTCCGAAAGAATCTCTTACATGGCACACGTCCCCCAGCACTGGTTGAAGTTCGTCGCTTTTGGGACGGCTTGTGATAACAATAATGGCCAGAAACGCTTGCTTTACTTGGAACTCAAAACGTTAGGAATGTGTTGATCCCCGAAGATCGGAAAGTTCTCCTCTGAACGCATGCATACCGTTTTTATCCACTTTAAAATTCATAAATATTATAGGAGTCGAATCGGTAAGCGGTTTTGAATCGTGGAATGACATATGCTCTTAGGATAATGCTCTAAGTAAGACACGGAGCAGTTCAGACTTCAGCAGCGCGTAATAATACTTCTAGAATAACTGCCAAATTTACGTGACATCAAGTGATGGCGGAGGGCGGGAGGGGATGAGACGCTGGGGAGCGGTGCCCACGTGGCATGACAACTCTCTTCAGTGCCCGCTTGGCTGTGCTGGGTGGTTCTGTGTGGTTCGCCGTGTCTCATTGCCACATTGCGATGATATCTCACCTCCGTGGGCAGTCGACTGCAACTGTCGAACAGGCTCTAGACCTCATCCACGACGACACATTTGTGGTGACAACGAAAGTCCGGTCGATATCGTGTTTCTTTCGGAAGTAGACGAGCTGAGTGACGAGGATATCTTTTATGTCTTTTGTAGCTGTGGCATACCGCTTAGGTTGCCACTTTAGCAGTTTATCTTTCAATAAATAACAATCCTAAGGTCAGTACCATTATCTACAACACATCGCTACGTTGATTGCATTCCCAAATTCACTGACGTTTTATCAAAGATAAGCTTTGTCGTGTGAGCTGTTATAAGACAAGCTTTGTCTTTTACTTTAAGGAACTCATGCAAGATGATTTGCGTAAATTGTTGCAGTTTTTAAATTTGCCGTTTATCTTTTTAGTGTCGTAGGTTGTGGTAAATCGCAAATTTTTGCTTTTGGAATAGAGAATGAACGACGCATAGCGTGATGTCACATGTGACGCTGTACATGCCATGTGGCACGTGCAAAGCAGCGGTGAAAGCAGATTGTTTTCCGCTTTTTACAGTTTTTCATGCTTTGTTATGCCGCTCTGTCACCACATCTCGGCAATAGAGCCGGTATGCGTCTAACACGAGACTGTGCGACGCACCGTTGCGGTAGCAATCGTTGCCTTTTTAGTGTCGTAGGTTGTGGTTTATCGTATATTTTTGCCTTAAGAATAGAGAATTGAACGACGCATAGCATGATGTTACATGGGACGCTGCACGTGGCATGTGGCACGTGCAAAGCAGCGGTGAAAGCGGATTTTTCCGGTTTTTTTACCGTTTTTCATGTTTTGTCTTACCGCCTCTTTCGCCACATCTCGGCAACAGAGCCGGCATGCGTCTAACCAGAGACTGTGCGACGCACCGATGCGGTAGTAATCATCGCGCAAGCCGGAAATGTTGGGACTTGGAAAATGTTGGGATTTGGATGCTTTCGTCGGAACCTTCACCAGTATCTTGCTAAAATTTGCATTGCCGTATGCGCGGATTCATAGCTGTATCAATCACCCATTTTTAATCATTCTGTGCACTCTTCCGTTCAAATATCAAATTTACCCAAGGTTTACGGATCCTCTTGTTTGCGACGTCAAATTGCCACCGATCGATCGCACCGTCGCCGCCGCTGAGAAATTCGAGTAAACGTGGGAAAGCGCATGTGCTGTGTTTGCCGACAATTATCGGCATTTCATTTATCTGCAGATCATCCATTGGAAGCGGGTGGAAGAAGTGAGCCACGGTAACATCGGCATGTACCTTTGCAGCCTTTTGCAGGTCATTTCACAGGTAACGACACGTGACATTATAAGACAATGTCACGTTCTATTTACATATTTATATTTAAAAGCATCTACAAAGAAAAAGTTATGCGAGTAACTCGCAAAGGTTGCGGCCATGATAATGATTGGGCTTGGCTATTGGGGAAGTACGCTGCCACGGGAAATTAACATAAGCAGTGTATTTATGGCTTGTCTTTAAGAATATCTGCTGAGCACGAAAGTGAAACAGGACGCAACAGCGTTAATAAGTCGGAGCTGAAATGCAGCTGTCATCAGCGGTCAGAAGGTTTTGTTGAAGCGTCTGGGATACGTAACAAGGCCCAAGCGCAACAGGCATTTGGAGAGCAGCAATTGGAAGCTGACCATTTGTTGACCTCTATTCCTTACCTTTGACAACGCGTCACGGCTGTGTGTGCCGCTGGGATAGGTGTCTCATCAGTTGGCCTCAAAATTATGGGTTAAGGCACCTGCGCACTTCACACCAGCTTTTGACCTAGGTTTCAATTACAGTTAGCCCCACTTCAAGCTGTTACTTTGTAAAACTATTGGCAAGGCCTCCGTACCCAGTGTAATGACCTGCTTCAATGACACGGATATGAACGACGCGGAAGCGTGGTCAGCGACCACTGTTTGTTCCCTCACACCATTTTTCGACGTTTTGGTACTTTCAACGCTTTACTACCCGTAAGTGCGCGGCGCAATTTTGGCGTTGCATCGGCTCAGCCGCAAGAATATGTGCGTGCTCCCAACTTATGCACGCTATGTGGGTGGTTGATACGATTTTATTGAATAATGTTCTTATCAGCTCATGGTGTAAAAAATAAACCATAGCATGGCTTCCTTAAGTGTGTGTTATAACCTGTCTACGGCTGATGCGTATGTCAAAGGTCCGGGAAGGGATGCCAGCAGGTACTACCGACTTTTCGTCGAAACCGTAACGGACCTTCTCCGTCGTGCCACGCGGTAGAATTGACTTGCACATCGGGTAACAATGCGGTCCGTCTGTACCGCTGCGGATTGGTTGCTCATCGGCTTGTTTGCGTGACGGTATGGCAAGGCACCTGTTAACATTATGCGAGCGTTTATTTCCGGTTTGAGTTAGCGCTATATCCGTCTGTTTACGTTGGCCTTTTTAAGATTATTAGCATGATCTGCCTAGTCAGTGTGTTAACTCGTCCCAATTACAAGGGTATGAGCGGTTGAGATGAGCGGTCAGCATCGCAACTTCATGTCAGTCAAAGCGGCAACTTTCTCAGACATGGGGACGGGTGGCTTTCGATGGTTTATCGGCTGAGCTGAGCGAATATGTGGTACTCAACTTCCTGATGCTGTGAAACAAATCGCAGGCGGCCGGGCATTGAAGGTGGACGAGTTATCCGTCACAGCACGAAAAGGCTTTTCTCGAAAGGGAAAACGATTTTGGGGGTTGTCATGGTATCTCTTCACATCAGTACTTGGTTAAGTCAAGTAAAAACTGACATGCGAGGGTGGGTTTCCTTCGTCGTGCTACCTGGCTCAGATGGCAATAACATTTACTTAAATCAACACTGCTACCAGCTGGCTGGTAACAATGAACATGCTGATTGGAAAGTGTCGAAAAAACAGCTGGCACACATCAAAGCAATCTCAACTATGTAGCCCACCCCCACCGCCCAGCAATGGGGGTGGGCTACACTCATGTGAGACGGTTTTCCACGGGTGATCATGAGATCGTGAGCCATGGCGATCCGGGGTTCGGGCGCGGAACGTAGCGCAAGGGTCGCTATAGTTAGGCTCATTGGTTCTTCGTAGCCGGTCCGAAAACTTGACGAACGACGAAGCCGACAGGTAGTCGTTCGAAACTATGGCCACATCTTGGGAACCGGGGGTCGAAGCGACAAGACTTAGACACGCATAGGTAGATGATTGAACGGGGAGCACGTGAGACCAAACGTGTGGTCGCATGCACCACATGTCACGTGCACAGAAGCGGCCAAGATGGACTTGTCTGCTTTTTACGGTTTTCATGTTGGATACTGGATCTCGGCAGCTAGGGAACGCGGAGGCACGAATCCAATTTAAAGTGTCGACCGACGTACTGACGTCAATTCAAGTGAACAGCACGTGTTTATGCGACGCACGGTTGCGCCAGCACTCGTCGGACAAGCCGGGCATGTCGGTGTTTTGAAAAACAATTCCGAGTACAATATGTTACCATTGAAACTGTAGCGAAAGTCGCGGCGACAAATATAACGCCGCATGCACCAATTCATTGCCTCTATTTACCGCCCATTTACTCGTTACTCTGTGCACCATTCCGTCCAAAGATCAGCTTTACTTAAACGGCGGCAACTCCAGATTTTCGGGTCACCAGAACGCCGCCGGGTGACCGCCCAGTCGCCGGCGGCCTGTGTTTTGAATAACACGATCGAACGTACGCCCCCGTATATTGCCGTCGTCTGGCAGACGTCATTCATTCGATCACCCATTCATTCCATGCAGTGAGAAAGGTGAGGCATTGTGGCGATCAAATGCATTAACGGAACTCCTTGCTTTGAGGAATGCCAGAGAAAACTCACATCGAGTGAATCATAATTTGTAACGGGTGTGATAACAGACCCACAGAAATGCAGTAATTTCTCAGCGAAGCTCACTCCTACGGCAAAACAGTACTGCAATCGGAGCCTCGTGAGGCGTGTTTTGGAGTCACTGAAGAGTCTGACGACACAGAAAGATTGCAGCAGCACTGACAGGTGACGGTGGCGAGCTCAGTGAGATATGTCATTTGTGGTGGTAGCAAGTGTGGTTTTGTTGAACTGACGGTGGCGAGCTCAGTGAGATATGTCATTTGTGGTGGTAGCAAGTGGGGTTTTGTTGAACTGTTGGAATGCACAACAACGCTCGAACAGTAATGGAAATTAGGAGAGCAAGATTTGAAAGCAGGATAATCGCTGATTTTGTGTTGATAAGTATGGCGTGAACTCATTGCAGAAGAATGCCTCAAATGATGTTAAAGGAGCATTCATTGTTAATGCTTTGTTGTGTCTCATCACCTTTGTAGCATGACTAGGCAGCGCAAAACAGGCAAGCGCTATGACAACGTTTATCGCAGCTTCGAGTGAATGCCATCCCCTGAGGGCTGTTCGATGGGCTATTTATTGCCCACCGATCTCCGTCAAGGCTGCAAAGATTTCAACCGATGCTGCTGCACGAAGAACTGGCACACGGATTAAGTGTGTTTCCCATCATCCACCTACATCCCTGGTGGTCAGCACATCACACCAGGTTCCCGTCACGCATCCCGGAAGCCAGAGTTCGGGTCGGCCAAGGAATACCATGGGTGGTGTTGAATACGTCCCGAAACAATGCAAATACACGTCGTCCAAAGACGCCAGGTCGCTTGGCGAAGCAGGTCTGGAAGCACTTGCCATTGCTATCACCACCGGCGCAGGTCGCCGTGAAGTGAATGCGCTGACGCAGTTCGCGCCAGGCGAATCGTAAGCGCGGCAGAGTAGATCACGCTGTGGTTCATATCTGCAGAGTTCCATATATAGACACACAGGCAGCCCCAGATGCCCCTGCTGCTCGGCTCTGCTGACTCAGCTGCCACGCTGAGAGGCCCAGCTGCGCGTGTCGTTGTCGTTGGCTGCTGTGAGGTTTTGTCTCATGCGTGATCGATCTAGCCAACTTCGCTGCTGTTGTTGACACACTCGGCTGTCACCACTGGCTCGATTGCCGTTGCTGATCCGACTGCCGTTGTTGTTCCGGCTGGCCAGCCACCGTTTTCGAACCAGCTGACTGACCTGTCGTTGCCGACCCAGTTTTACGTCTTGTTACAGCGCCCGTGGAGCGGGTCAGTTCTGAGCCGTTACAAGTGGCACCTGCGGACAATTCTGGCGGGATGAAGTGACCTATATTTCACTGCGTTGGCCCCTGAAGACACTGGCCCCTAAAGACACTTGTCGCTGGAGACACTTCACGCCGCCAGGGGACGAAGCGCAACGAGGACGATCCGTGGTGAAGAGCGCGGGTGCCAGAGCCCCTGGCTACCTCAGTAGCACAGCCGCCAACGCTGGTGATTGCCAACGGGTCAGAAAGGAACTCTCATGACTTGAAGGCGGATAAAGCGAGCGGTGCGAAGCTTAAGCCTCATTGTGAAAACTGGCCTTAATCTTTAACACGGAAGATTCAAAAAGGATACTTAATCACACAAACAAAGCCCGCGACAACCCACCTCTACCATTTACCGCGCCGGCAGACCGGCTGCGCCGAGGCAGGTGGCCAACTGATCTCCTGCTCAGGCAGAAGAGGCGGCCGACTTTCCAGCTCTGCACGACAGCTGGACGCTGGATGGGCGTTACCAGCGGCGCGGGACCAATGGAGCGGCGCTCTCAGCTGGTCACCCTCTGTCTGGTGAGTGACGCCACATCGCCAGCGGTTCACCACCTGGACCTGCGGGGCACAGATGCTGGTTCTCCCCCAGAAATGGATGTGCATTCCGTTTGAGGCCGGGTGATGATCAATGACCCAGCTTTACAACCACGCCTTTTACAACTGCGGTTTCAAATAAAAGGCAATGTAAGTTCAGTTTTGTAAAACCTGAAGCTTAATTAAAATCTTTGAGTTTTAATTTCAAGTGTTAAAAATTAGAAACTTAATCTCCTAGCTAGAAATTTGTCAACTCGCGTTTAGAAACGCGCTAACTTCAATTTGAAAATAGCTGAAAGTCGATGAAGCGTATGTTAGATCAATTTGAAATATTTGAGCCACAATTCGCATACTTTAGACCTTTATGGCCTGACCTAAGCCTCAATTCGCATACTTTAGACCATAGATAGAAGCTCAATTTGTCCGTTGTGATAGCTCATTTGGCTAGAGCACCTGCCTTCCGATCAACCCACCCGTGGCGGGGTGAGTTCGAGTCGCTGTAGGCGTTCATTCTTTGCCCCTGACTGGGATGGTTTGCGGCCGGTGGCAGCGGCTGCACTCAAGGTCAGGTGACGTCAGAGGGCAGAACGGACCTTACCGATCATAGCGGCACGTCGCAGTTTTGCCTCCAAAGTATGCCGTTGGCCTGAAATTTAACGATAGAATGGTGCGGGTCAGGGCTCAGGCAGCTTACCTTAGTGCCCAGAAATTCATCCATGCAAAATGCTCTATCTTATTCTTCAGAAAAGCTTCAGTGAATATAGTGTGGTTTGTTGTGGTCATCTGTTGTGCATGCATTATGCACACATATTCTGTCAACATACCTGCAAAGAACGCCACCGCCCTCGGCACAAACTGAAAGTATCCTTGTGACGAGTCGAAGAGCATCCCGCCTGTTTTATAGTCCTGGACAACCCTTGAAGGTTGAGAGACCTTATTTTGACAATTAATTGCATTAAATATTTCAGCAGGCACTGACAAACAGCACTATTAAGGTATTCCATCCTATATTGACAAGACCCGACGTTTCAGGCTGGGGCCATGGTCACGAGGCAAGAAACATAAGGTACAAATTACATTTAAAAGCCAAGGCATGTGGATCCGGAAAATCAGTTTGCATCGATGAGTCCGACTGCAATCTGTTTACGCGCTCTTCATTCAGTCGTTAAAAGACGGACATTCAAAGTAGCTCAGGCACGGTGCCAACATTTTCCTCCTGGGAAGGGGGAGGGGCAAATATCAAATTTCTCCTAAGTCCCGCAACTTCAGGCCAGAGCCCCGCGGGATCGACCAGTATCTAACGTAAACCTCTCGGTTTGGGGTTGGAAACGTGACCTCGAGGCCCCTCGTCTTGAATGCGTTACTGATGCAGCGGGAGGAGCTGAGAGCGAAGGGGAAGAACGTGTAAATCATCGCTGGCATATCACAAACGAGTCCCGTGAACTGACGGAGGTGCCGAGGATCATTCTGAAAGTTCAAGTAGTCATTATTTGTGACAATATCCCCAGTTAACTTCGGCCTGAAACAAGTCTTACCGAACCCGTGTTTACTGGAGTGGAGCTTTTTCGACTTGGCATAACAGCGCACTTTTCAACTCTATAGAGAGGTGTTCAGTGTGATGAAGGCTAGCATGAAGCTTAAGATGGTCACATCAATACAGCTCGTGGCTGATAGATCGTTGATTGGTTAATTTCAGCCGCATTCAATGACTCAAGCCATGCTCAATGAACCTCCTCAGTGGCGAAACAAAAACTCGAGATAAATATGCTGTAACTTAAGAACTTCGCATTGTTTTGGAAGACAAGTAGCTTAAGGCGCATTCAGAAATATAGGATACATGATTACAAAGAAATGATTAATCTTCAAATTTTTTCAATTGTAATTAATATTTGCTTAACTGAAACTTATATTTATACATGCTTGGACCCCAGCATGACACCCACTCCTTGTCAGCCACCTCTTTTTCACGTACTTGGGTTAACATGGGATGCTCGCGTAATGCCTTGATAGCACCGCAGCCATCTGGTTCGTCGCAGGCGAAGTTGTTTGGTTTATTGTGCATAAAGCATGATGAATAATCTTGTTTAAAGGATGCTTCGCTTGGATATTTTCGGCGTGCAGGTGTCGAATGCCCTTTGTCTGTATGTTCTTGAAATATGTGTGCATTATACGGAGAAAATAGATGAGCATGACAAACCATCCTATTCTCATTCTTATATCAGCTTAAAGTCTTCCCAAATTAAGGTTGAAAGACTTCAGACTGAATTAGAATATCACAGACTCAACTCCAGCTATTTTTAATTGATTTTTGACAATTTCAAATGGAACCTGGGGTTTGCTAAACCCGAGTTCTGGGAATTGTGGTCGATGTGGCGAACTCAAGTTCTGGGGATTCTGCTCGATGCCGGGGAACTCAAGTTCTGGGGATTGTTCTGTCGGCCAAAGTGTCCGCACGCCCATCCGTGCCTACAGCGACTACCGTCGCGCCGCTGTCCAGGAGTCTGGGACAGGTGGCATCTGTCCGAGCGTCGCCTATTGTTTCGCTCGGCTCTGCCCCCATTGTGTTGCCTGCGCTCCTCCCGCGCCTTCTGTCGCACGCCATCGGCCACCTTGCCAGCACCGCTTTCACTCCCATCTCAAGTGGTTTTTGGGCGACGCTGCTGCCTACGTCGATGACAGGCTTCCCTAGCCTGTCTTTCCCTTAGCATATACCTGGAGGTTTAGCTCGACCATGCAGACTATTGCACGGTCATAATTTTGACTTGATACGACTGTACTGACTTGATACTGACTGTTGACGCAAAATACGACTGTAACGCAATGTGCTTTTAGTTTCGAGATCTAGACGATAAGGTTAGGTCAGCTTCCGATACAACACAGAATGACTTGCTCTCTGCGTGAAACATTTTGTAACGCAGATTCGGTTTCAGGGAAGGGGAGCTTTAAAGAAGTTGGCATGAAGATGATACTGTGATGAGGTTTCATGCGCATCAAATTATTGAAGCGACTTGAGAGCTTGAGAGCTATTTGTATAGCAGGGCCCTAGCTGTGTTTATAGCAGTTCGCCTGCTCATCGGCGCATGCAACATATTTACTTCAGTCAATACTAAGTCGATACTCTCAAGCCGCTGTCATAGCTGAAGAGAGCCAGAACCGCGCCCCAGCTGAAGCTGGCTGCCTGTGGTCGGCTGCCTCCATGCTCGCTGCGCCTAGCCCGCCTGTGTCTGTTGGCAGCTGCTGGGGTACCTGCCGCGCCCGTCGCAGTTTATCTTCCCGCTGACCGGCCTGGGCTTGTGTCAGCCGCGGGTGACCGAGGTACAGCCCGGTCAGGCCGTCTACCTCAGCTCGGAGAACTACCCGCTGACGTACCCACGCGGCGCCTGCCAGCGGCACGTGTTCCGGCCGGCGCGCGCCAACACCTCGCTCTCGGCCGTCTGCACGGACGTCGACCTCGACTCGCTGGTGGTGCCGTGGCTGAACTGGCGCGTGTGGGGCGACTTCCTGGCCTTCCCGGGCCGGGGTACGGTCTACGGTCGCGAGTGGACACAGTGCGAGACGGCGCCGCTGCGGGTGGACGGCGCGCCTGGCCACGAACTGCCGCTCGAGTTCTCGGCCAACTACCTGCTGCAGAGGAGGGGGTACAACTGCGTGGTGCGAGCCATAGAGGAGGACAGCCTGCTCAGCCGCCAGCTGGGTGCCCTCCGGCACAAGGAGAACAGAGGTCAGTCGGGGTCACTCGGACCTGACAGTGGAGGCCCGGCGAGGACGCTCAGACCTCACGGCAAGCGACGTGGTGGCGTCGGCGATTCCGTCGGAATGTGACGATCATTTCTCTCCACTGCTTTCTACAGCATCCCTGGATTCGGTCGTGCTATCACGGCGTGCAGGGCAACGTGCATGCATAGGTAGCACAACAGTCAAATTCGCCAGCACTTGACAGCTGCTAAAACAATTCTAAGCACGGCTCACCAGTAGGTTCCTGATTGGTATTTATGCTTGATAAATGTGATTCTGGTTTCGGGATAACGTTCACATTACAATATTATTACTTAACTGTTTCATCTAAGAGGATTCGTACATGCTATCATATCATGCGGAATGATAGGATATGCCTACGATATCTAACCCAAGGCCAGTATTTGGTCGGCTCCAGCTTGGCAAATCAGCACTTTTTATTATCTACATTTGCTTTCAGTATGTGCTAGATGTTGGCCCGTGCTTAATGCTTTTAGATATGACGGTCGTGTGATTTGCATGACGTTCACTAACAGGGTACTTCTGGGCGGGCAGTATCGTAGCATGCCAGCAGCTGCAACAGCACCCATGAAATATTTATGGTCGCGCTCCCCATGTGCAGTAGAAGAGTGTGACAAAATAATCAACGCTGGTCTGTTCCGCTTTGTCCTGCGCGCGCCGGACAACTCGGACCGATGCGTGCATGCCATGGTCGTGCAGTGCTGTCCGTGTGCAGACCGGTGGTGGCCGCGCGCTCGACGCATCCTCCGACGGTGCGGTACGTTCGCCTGACAGTCATTCGTTCGCAGACTGCGGTCGGCCGCGGGTGAAGAGGATAATTGACGGCAAGGATGCTAAGCCAGGACAGTACCCGTTTCTGGTGTACACGGTCACACACACCTCCGACGACAGAAAGGTGAGGAGCATGCTTGTCGGGGAAGGAGCGGGTGTGACAAATCGAAGCCAACGGAGGACCGCCGAAACGCTAATCCCCGGGTGTCCTCCATTCTCCCATGAACAACGATCGCACAACTGCCGCTACGAATGCTCTAATAAGCGGTATCCACCCATCATATGTCAGCTCAAACTTACATCACAAATTACAGGGACACGCCTCTCCGGAGTCGCCATCGGTATAACGTTTCTAGCGGCTGCTGTAGCGTCATCATTTGACACCAGTGACAAGTTCCGGGGCGGTACATCGATCACTCGTGCTCGAATTGTCGTGCCTGCGCATGCAGGTGTGACGCACGTGTCACGTGCAAAGAAGCTAACATCGTGTAACATGAGAAACGAACAATTGTGCAAGCTGTGAAGTTTTTGTGAAGGACGGGTCACGGCCCTGGGCACTGGTCGAAGCAAGGGGCATGGATCTTGAGGCCGGACGCCGCGGCAACGCGCCACCAACACCGTTCGGCTGAAAAAAAGAACGACGAACCGATTTGACCCGGGCTTGTGGCGATATTACCCATGCACGTCTTGTCACCAGAATCTGGTCGTCGGCGAGAATGTTTACCTATGGGTCAAAATCGCCGCATTCCGATGTCTATCAAACTATCAAGATAAATGCAGAAAGTCACGCAGAAACCGCGCAGAATAGGTTAACAGAATAAGTTATAAGAATTATAGATAAGTTATCGGAACAAGTTAACCAGCGAAAGTCCCTGATAAATTCCCATGAGAGGTAGACTGTTCAACGTATCGGTCAAGGCCTTCGGCATCGGTTGACGAATGTGTCCGGTCTAATAAACTTTCTGTTTGGCGTCATCTACAACCGAGGATGACAACTCTGACAGCTGCTATCGCCTTGCTCGTCCCACACCGCGCGAGGCGACTCACTGGCTCATGAATAGTCACCGGACAGCAAGTCATTGAGAAAGAACGAGGCTGTTATTTGGACACCTTGTGCTTGTTCTTGGACTGATATTGGCGATTTGCATTCGCTTCATCCGTTTGAGTCCGCCAATCTTCTGATCTGATCCAGTTATATCTCGTGTTCTCATTTCTGATCCAATGCACTCTTAAACTTGAGCTCACTAATATTTTGTCGATAGTTCCAATCTGTTAAAACATTACAGCCGTCAGCTTTGTTCTCTGGATTTATCCCTCAGCTAAAGACCAGCGGCCTTATATGCTCAACACTTGGGACCTGCGGCAGGTTTTCGGTTTCCCCAGGCATTATTTAGCAAAATTCACGCGCGAATGATACGAATATTCAATCAGAGAAAGTCGGCAGTGACCTAGTGAGTGGCAATTCTCCGTTGTGAAGACCATGCCATGGATCATGGTCACCATCGTTGGGATTCAGATCACCTAGCATTCATGCATGCTCTGCATAAGTATCAGGGTGCCCGGTCCTCGGTTTCTCTCAGCCTCTTACTGCACCAGGTAAAACCAAATGACGTCAGGATTGGTCTTGCGAACCATTCGATTATTACAAGTACTTGCTGCAATATGCTGCGAACAAGTGGCACAACAAATGGTATAGCAAAATGGTGCAAAACTTGGTACACTGAGCACCGCCACTTGTTAGTAAGAAACATCATTACTGGTAAGCAAAGCCACCATGCAACAGTAACAACCCGGGCTTGGATGCCTTTGACAGTCAGGTTAGGATATATATATATATATATATACAATGTCTTTTCGCGTTAGTGCTATTACCTAGGGATCAAAATTGCTTTAGATCTGAAATGCACGAAGACTAGGATGAACAGAAAAAACCTTCGTTGGCCAGCAGGTCTGTTAAAGAAGCCAACACGTTTTGCTACGAAGCCATTTAGTATTTTCATCTTGTTGATATTCGTTTTTCACGTTTCCGAACTTGGTCCCAGAGGGCCGAATTTCAAAGCACCGCAAACATGAATGACGAGCAAACACACGTTGACGAAACGGAAAGATGTCCAAAGAAATGTTGCTAGCTATTTTGATAGACTTGGAAACATCCTGTAGGTTTCTTTCTTGCTACTCCTAGGCTTCATGTATTTGAGATGAAATACCAAATCTAACGTGGAAATGTTTCTGGTGAACCATACCAGCCAGTGCGACCTTGTACGTCGTCGGACGGGCGAGGTAATTACAGACGTCATTGCTGACGTCATTTGGACAAAGACAATACAGTATAAATCACATTTTAAAGCAGAATAAAGCACATCATCGTTGGGTAAGCAAGCAATTGAAAGAAAATCCTCCGATTGAAAGAAAATCCTCCATGGGTTTTATAGGAAAAAGTGCACCGATGTCGGCATTTGCGAGGGAGTTAACAAGTAACAAGACTTTAAAAAAAACGTCTGTTTTGGGCATGGTGAGCATCACAATATCTTGAGGCTATTTTCGTGCGCGACTGCCATCCTCCGATATTCCTCAGTTAGGCTGCAGCGTGCAGCATGCGAATAGTTGTTCTCAGAAAATGCGGCGTTGGTGGCCTTCCGGTCGATTCTTGACACACCAGAGGGACGGAGAGCGTTGAGCTCGTCTGGTGAATCGCGGACGTTGCATTCTGCTGCACCGCACAGTGCTTCACGTCTTTTATTTGCTCTCGTTGCCGAGATCTGGCACCAATCATTAAAATTGACCCCAGAATGGGAGGGTCCATGGTTTGCGCACTGAGACGTATGAACGCATGCACATTTTAAGACATACATTTGTCAATACGAGTGTCCGCACTCTACTCCGTCCTAAATATTTGGTCTCTTGTGGTTGCAATGCTGGGCTTCAAAATCCAAACTTCGTTTCAACCCGTGTTTTTCAGTTTTTTCCGTGTTGAAAAATTTTGTTTTCCGACTTGGCCGAACGGAAAGGTTGTACTTTGTTCTTCACGCCCGATGGAATAGCTTGCAAGCAGATGACTGCATATTTAAACCGCATAACTAATAACTAGCTGCTCTTCTTTCTAACCTAAACATGGGTGGTGGTAGTGGCGGGGTGGTTAGAGCGCTCGGCTCCGGATCTGTCAGTCCTGGGTTCGGACCCTGTCACACTACTACCGCATCCAACGTGGTACCTAATAAAGGTGTTCCGTCTCGAAATGGCCCGAGCGGCCGGCGGGCCGTAATCGCCTTCATCGTTAGCACCGACCGGAAAAGCGTTTCGAGCTGCTATGAACGATCAGTGGGGATGTATTAGCTTTTAGAATGCGCGACGGCCAGGCATGGCCGCTCAAGTGGAACTTTGTTCATGGTTCGGGTGAGACCAGCTCAGCTCCCACCCACGCTCATAATGATTAATGGTCATGTCTTTGGACAGCATTTGAACAGGTCTGAGCTCCCACGGCATGACTTTCGCCAGACACCAAACACCCGCACATGTTCATAAATATGCGAGATAATTTTGCAGGCACCTAGCCAGCAGTGCAAAACCAGTACAGCACTAGCAGCGCTGACACACCGGTTCACGTTGTCAGTGGATCGTGAGCATCGCAGCCCACGAAGAACACCAGAACGTTAAGTTGAACTCGCGCGGAAGCCTCTAGCCCGAGGTGCCCCGAGGCACCCCGGCGCCGCTCGCCGCTCGTCCCCGGCATTCACTGGTCCAGCCGGTCAGCAGCTCAGCACCAGCGCGTGATGAGCGCTTCCCGGCGGCGGTAACGGCCGCCACCTACCGTCTTTTGACAGGAGCGCGCATTCATCACTGGAAGCAGGACAGCGCGGCGGCGTCGACGCCTGCTGAGTCATTCCCGGCGACGCCGATAATTGGAGGCGCCTCCGCCGGCTTCGGCCTCATTCTGCACTGGCGCGCAGAGATCGGCCCATTTGTCCGAGCTGTGGTCACCACCGCGTTGGGGGTGGAGTCTCTGTGGAAGAATGCTGTTCACGGGACACAAAACGATTTGTTTTGAACAAGTGGCGAAAAGGGATATTGCCAGACACCGCATTTGCCTACGAGTCGCATGATGCGCGCGCACATGTGGTGATGTACATGTCGTCTGGCAGCCAAATCGGTCTCAGCCCGGACGGCTGCCTGCGTCAGCGCCCGTCCGTGCGTGCGCGCTTAGCCGTCACGCCGCCGGTCTGCGACAGTGATGGTCGGCACGCGTGTCAGGACAGGTCAGCAAATGAGAGGCCAGCGGTCTGGCCGAGCTCGTGGTCCAGCCCTCCTCTCAGACGAGTCCACCGGCAGCTCACCATTCTCTGCGATCTCTGCTAAACCAGCAGTGGGTCGTCACTCCATAAGACACTGCGTCGGATACATTGCTGACCCACTCACGCATCCCTCCTGATTCACCCGCAGCTGGGATGTCGACCCAGGCACCAGCTGTCGCCTTCTCACCATTCCGTTCGCGGTCTTTGCGAGATTCCGTCGCTGTCACAGGCCGTCCGCTGGACCGGCGGACCGTGATGCCGCACGGGTCCGCGTTCCAGGTGTACTGCGCCGGCACGCTGCTGGACCAGCGGTTCATCCTGACGGCGGCGCATTGCCTGGACGGCGCAGTCTGGACGCACGTGACGCTGGGTGCCCATGACGTCACCGCGGCCGAGGGCTCGTCGGTCGTCACCAACGCCACCCGGTTCCGGCAGCACTCACAGTGGAGCATCCAGAAGTTCAACCGCGAGCACGACATCGGTCTGATCGAGTGAGTACAGAGGGCGGGACGCTGGGACGATGGGCCGGGTCGGGACGGTGCCACCATGGAGCAGAGCTGGGATGCTAGGACGATGAAGCGGGACGGGACGGGACGCTGCGACGACGGAGCGGGGCTGGGACGGCTGTGACTCCACCGTGATGGATAGGATACGTGCTATGGTGAAAGGCGCGACGTGAGGATGTGACGGCGTCTGGAGGTTTGAGGTCAGACTGGAGAGGAATGGGGAGAAGTAGAGAGTCGCATTAGTATGAGCAGTGAAAGCTGTATTTAAGAATGCGTGTGAGGATGCGCTTTTGGGCCAAGCTGGGGAAAAGCTGCAAGATTCAGAAGTGACAAGTTTCGTAGAACCAGGAAGAAATCAGTTCGGAACACTTACATGCACATTTGCTGATTAAGCGTCCATAACCTAACAATGCCAGCCGACCCAGACGCCGCGCACAACTCAGCTGTACTTAAACAAAGAAGAAAGACGTTGACAATTCAGCCCATTTGATTGTGGTCGCAAAATCGTATACTTCCAGTCCAGTTCAGTCAGTCCAGTCCAGTATACAGTTCAGGTGGGAAAACGAACTCACAATTCGAACAATTTAAGCAATTCACAATTAACAAACCAGAACCGTAACTGGCAATTCGTTCCGCTGATCATTTCAGAGCAGATGGTGAATTAGGTCTGGCTTGAAGCGCGGCACGAGTTGAATGTTCTGTGCGGCGGATGAGAAGATGGTTGAATCATTTCGCAGCTAACAACGTGCGAAGGAAAATAGCCAGGGCACATCCTGAAGGCACATGCTCTCGCGCACGGCTCCCTGGAATCGCCCGAACAAGTGACAGTGTTTCACGCACCAGACGCTGTCTGAAGCAGCACACACACTGTTGTTAACGCCGCCAACAGGCCGCGACAGTCAGTGACCGTTGCGGTCGGCCCCTGTTCATGTGGTCCGAATCTGAGCTCGGTGACGCGTGGTGGCCGGGGTGGTGGCCGGCGACAGAGCGCACTGGTCCCGGTGGCACCGTGCGCCGCGGGCGGGCCGCCACCAGCGCGGCGAGGCGGCTCGGACCGGTCCGCAGCCGACGACACGGTGTGGAGGTGTGAACCGACCGTCCCTCTGGTTCAAGCGCTGGCAACGACGGAACTTCCCACACGCTACGTCTACGCGACATGGCCTCTAATGCGATAACTTCTAACGCACACCTGGCACCACCTGCGATTCCGTAATTAAGGATGGGGAGCGACAGGTCACGCGGTTTCGGCGCTGGAGCCGTGTGCGGCTGTAGACGAGTCAGGACGGCAAATGAAAGCCCGACAAGTAGGCTGACATGTGATTATGTGTAAATGACTGCAGATACAGGTGATGGGCTGCGTTTTAATCATTTAGCGTTAAAGCGAAGCTAGAGGTGATTGATGGATGACTGGGAGGCGACAAGGCACTCTAAAGTCGTTTCATTATGGCTCTCACCGTTGCTGTGTCGCGGCCGGGCGCGGCGTGCGAGACGCGTTCGCATATTCAGGAAACTTTTTCGGGCTAAAGCGTTGCTCTGCTTGTCAGCTAGTCGGTTTGTCTGAACTCTCAACGGAACCCCGTCCAGCGCGCGGGTGCATATTTTCTTACGATCAGGGATCTTCTCACTTTATTTCATTTTTTGCTTAACACAGGGCGCAAACCCTCAACCGAACGGGCAGGCCTAAGTGGGTTTGCGTCACATTTCCTTTTTACGAGGGCTAAGTCATGTAGGGACTATAACAGCCATTAACAGTGGTATGTGCGGAACACACCCGAGCAATACGGCCCAGCTATCGTCGCGGGACAGAAGGACCCAGACGGCTGCAATCCTGCTCTTATACAGATGAATGTTTGTTGGGTGGTGCGACTCGAGGGCACGATATCGTACTTTGTTGCACCAGGAGACGGTCGATTTGTTTGTTTGTCGCTCACTTGACCTCAGGCGTGACGCCATGACGAGGCGAGGGTTATGATATGACCAAGGATCAGTTCGGAACGTCCAGGATGCAGGGTTATGATATGACCAAGGGTCAGTTCGGAACGTCCAGGATGCAGGGTTATGATATGACCAAGGGTCAGTTCGGAACGTCCAGGATGCAGGGTTATGATATGACCAAGGGTCAGTTCGGAACGTCCGGGATGCAGGGTTATGATATGACCAAGGATCAGTTCGGAACGTCCAGGATGCAGGGTTATGATATGACCAAGGATCAGTTCGGAACGTCCAGGATGCAGGGTTATGATATGACCAAGGATCAGTTCGGAACGTCCAGGATGCAGGGTTATGATATGACCAAGGATCAGTTCGGAACGTCTAGGATGCAGGGTTATGATATGACCAAGGGTCAGTTCGGAACGTCCAGGATGCAGGGTTATGATATGACCAAGGATCAGTTCGGAACGTCCAGGATGCAGGGTTATGCACCGCAGTGACTGGGCCTATCCATTGGTGTATGGCGATTCGGGAGAGGTCAGGACAGAGCCCGCTGTCTTCCGACGTGGTGCACACCAGGTGCTTGATGGCGGAATGTTCGGAACGAATGGAGATCCTACTATCAACGCTCATGCAGAGGGCGACAAGGGACTAAGTCGTCAGACAGGCCGGTCCGGCCGAGTCTCCAGAGTGTACCGGCCGTTGAGACCGTGAGGCGTAAGCGCAGTCTGCCCCAGGCCTCCGAGGGCGCGCTGTGGGGCAATGCCTCGCAAATCTCACCTCAGCAAGCTGCGAGGGGCGGGGGTGGCCAGAGGAGGGGTGGGCCCTGCCAACGTGGGCGGGGCGCCCAGGAAGGCCTTCCAAAAAGGGAGTCGTCACCCTGGAGACCCGGGCCAGGGAACGAGTCGTCGTCCAGCTATGTTACACCTGACGCCGGCCCAGTAGCTGCGTCGGTGCCAGGCTGATAACGAATTGACCTGATACGTTTTGAATAGGACATATATATGGCCTCACTGCCTGATTGAAAAACATTAAATGCAATTTAAACTGGCTAAAAGAGGAATCGTGCAGACGTGACAATTATAATGTCAAGGCGCTGAACAGGGGAAGGGGGGGGGGGGGGTCCTGCCCGTGTGCGAGCCAAAAATGAGTGGGTTGAAATGGGCGCCAGTGGATGTGTATGCTTGGAGAGAATATGGTGCAGCGCCGAGCGCATGAAGTCTGTGTGGATTAGTTAAGAACGCATTCTCCCTGTGTCTGAATGCTGAGTTAAACATGTTGGTAAACTAATAAGCTGGGGCGTATGGTGAATGAGAAGCAAGTTTCTCTGCAATAAATGTGCTCATTTATTGCTTTTATGTCATCAGTCATACGGTGATGTAGTTCTAGCAAAAGCAATCCCTTTTCCCTCCCAAGCAATGGTCAACCCGTATGGCAAAGATGTTCGCAAAAATCAGCTGTTTCGTGGCAGTGGACCTATACGATCCATATCGTACAAAAAACCATCTCATAACTCGTTCTGAATTTATTAAAACAACAACAGAGATCGGGCATCGCCCTGCCCGGGTTGACAGCGCACTGAGAACCGGCAACAGTGCTTCTTTATGAAAGTCACTGGTGCTGCTAGCATTTGAATGTACAAACACCGTGCGTCCACACAGACCCAAGGAAGATAACCGGCCGCTGGCCATCCGGTGCATTGTTTCGATTGCATTTACCTCGTGTTGAATACTTCTCCGACGACGTTGTCACCCAACTTCATGTTCGTATTGTCGACTGTGAGTTGTTTGCTCATTGTGCAGGTTGTCGAAGCCGGTCAAGTACACCCCTTACATTCAGCCCATCTGTCTGCCGTCTGTCCTGGAACTGGAGGAACAGTACGACAACCAGGAGGCCTACATAGCCGGATGGGGCAAAACGTACAAAAACCAGGTAATTATGATCTGGAGCGTTTAGCGCTTGTACCAGCAAGCGGTCTTGACGATGAACTGACGGGCCAAGACGAGGCCGGTTCGCGTGAGACGAGCCAAGTGATAACTAGCAAACGTGATTGTTGCCACCACACAAATAATGCCCAAACGTAAACGAACAGAGCATGTCTTTTGGGGGTTGTACAGATAGACGGTATCAGGGCATTGAGATCGGAGATTTCACCTGACGGGCCAATTTTTTGCCTAATCTACCGGCTTCCGATGACCACTCACACCCGCAAATCAGCCCTAGCCATCCATGCCCACCCGTTTGCATTCTTTCAACGCTATGACTCTAAATTTCGGAGGAATGTGAACGTTTTCATTTAATTTTTATTTCAGTTGGGAACTGCGAAAACAACGTAAGCGGAGCTAATCATGACTCAAAGAGGAGCAGTAATGTTGTGTGTTATTTGTTGAAGTGTTGATGCACCATTTTGTAGACATCCTGCCAATACCGTCCGTGTATCCGTCCCGGTGGCCCAGTTGGTAAGAGTCTGCCTTTCAATCCAGCCTTCCATGGAGGGTTGGGTTCGAATCGCTTTAGGAGCTCTCTATTTGTCCGTGACAGGAATGGCCTGCGGCCGCTGGCAGCGGTCGCGATAAATGGCAGTTGACATAAGACGGCTGAAGGGACCGGGTCAAGCATTGCAGTACATCAAGCTTTTGCCACGAAATGTTGCCATTGCCATGGAATTGCACGATCAGATGGTGGGGGGTCAGGGCTTACACAACAAGCACGGCTTGGCGTGAGCTCTGTTCCCAGAAATCCACGCATTCAAAAGGTTCGGATAAAATCTGTAAAATTCCGTCTTTGTACCCTGTAATTTCTCCAAAGTATATACCCAATCCATTTCGTTACCCATCCAGTATAGGTACACAAGGGCTTGCCAAACCTGTGCAGTCTGCTAGTTGAAATACAGTACTATTGGGAGTTTATATGCGGAGGTGCGCTGGTGCTTAACCCAAGGAATTTACAGGTGATGTTCCCTGAGTACTAGTTAGCGTTGGTCCCACTCATGGTATGCTTAATGTTGGAATTGCCAAGTCCTGGCAATTTAGTCGTCACATCAAGTGTTTAAATCTGGAACAGCTCACGTATTTTGTAACTGTGTCGAACGCTTACCAGACGTCTCATCGACCATGGCGCATCGGTTGGTGAAGGTTTTGTTTCGATTGGAGTTATCGTTTTTTTAAAGATTTTATCCGAACCTTTCGAATGAATGGATTTAGAATGGTTCGGAGAATGGGGTTATCTGCAAGTTTATTTATCCGGTTTTTGCCTTTTTTGGTAACTTTTCCTCTCACCCTAGGCTACCATGCTTTGTAGAAAATAGGTTATTGACCATGATCCAGCACATGACGAAGATTTCGTGTCAATCAGTCCCATTAATCCTGAGCATAGGGTTGCCTACAAACACACTTCAGATGGTTTTCGGTGGTTTTTGTGACTTTCGGCCTGATGTAAGGCCGCCATGCCGTGGAGAGGATGGGTTGTCAACCGCAGTGCATGGAGTGGTGAAGGTTTCCTTTCTATCGGTACCATAGCTCGAACCATGTGGTTGCCTGTTGCCACTTGGGTAGATTCGGGCTTTTTGGTGACATTTGACCCACCCGAAGGTCGCGATGTTCGGGAAAGGATAGACTATCGCCTATGGCGCATCGACTGGTGGAAGTGTTGTGGTAATGTGTCTCATTGGCTCGAAGCATGGCATTGTCTGCAATTTCCTTTCTTTATTTTTTACCTTTCACCCATCTTTGGCCCGACCTAAAGATCACCATTTTCTGGAAAGGATGGGTTATCGGCCATCCTTTCGACCATCCCCTATCGAATGGGGAAGGTCTCATATCGACCAGTCTCGCAGACTCTTAACAGGTTGTAAGCAAGTGCCGTCGGCTTTTCAGTCTTTCCCGTACGTTTGCTGGATGACGTAACATCCTAAGCATTTGACTTAGTCTTATGTGTGGTTTTTGTGAGGATAAACTTAACTGATCAGTTTCGTGGGCTGTAGAGATGTCTGAGCGCGACACAACCTCATCTATTCTGTGGAGCCAGTGCTTGATACCATACATTTTGGCAATCATGAGAAAGCAAACCGGAATCGGAGTCACTCTCACCTGTATGAGGCGTTCGCTTGCTTACTTAGCTCGCTCACTTGTTACGTCTGAGCAGTTACCCGTGACAATCTTATCGATATCCCTTAATAACTTTTATAACCGTAATATATACTTGACTCATTTACACTTCCATCGAGAGGTTTGTGCTTTTTATGGCTCACAACGCATGTCATAGATTATCTTTTTTGATACGTCAGCGACTTTAGCGACCATATTAGCGCTTAGTGACTGTCACAAACCCCATGATACGAACCCCTACCCTCCATGTGTAAGCCGAAAGAGCTAGCCACCCGGCCATTACGTTTCAAGCATGCGCATAAGAACTTCTAAGAAATGTTATGAGAAAAGAGCAAAGTGCCTGCCCTTGTAAATGCTACTAGCATTGAACACCCAATTACTTCGGATCTTATAGCTGATGTGCGCTGAAACACTGAGTATTCCATTTTTTAAAAATTAACACGTGCTTCGGTGCTGATCAATTCTGCCCTTAAGAATTGTTTTTCAAGTAACTTCCGGATGGTGTGGTGTAGACATCTCAAACTTTGTTGAGATGTAATCATTTGAATAGCTAACTTGATGTAGCCATAGATATTCGTCATATCTATGCACACTCGTAGCAAGCCAAAGTGAGACCATGGGTGTCAGCGGAGGCAATCCCAGGGAATCGTTCAAACTGATGTGACAGGGGAGTGTAAGACAATACTCTATAACTTTCAGACCGTGCCTTTCACAAGGAGACAATTGGAATTGTATGCAACTTATTCTTTTGACCTTGGGTCAGGCATATAGATTAGACCAACCTTTAAATCCAATTGCTCTTTGCTGAAAAAATTGCATTATGGGGTACACATGACGTTCATTCAGAATTACCCGACCACAAGCATGTCAATAGATTCCTTAGGTTGACTTCGTGAACGCCAAGGAACGTCACTGGCCTGAAATGACCGCAATCAACCGTTTGCTTTGAGGAATATGCCGACTAGGGCAGCGCTGAACGCTAGTATATTTAAATCTCAAAATAAGTACCAACGATTTTGATCATGTTGACCTTCTCATGATTTCCCTTTGGCTTAGAAAATTATCTAGGTTAAGCCTCTGCATGACGATGTCTGTCGATGTCTTCATACGGCATCTGAAGCTTGACCTTGTTTTATTTGTCTTTCTTGATCCGAAGGTCACGACCTTGGAGCATCAATATTAAACACGAAGGAGCTCACTTAGTACCTTCACCTGCCCTGTGCATTTGGCGTCCCGACCTCCGTCTTTTTATACCTCGGGGGACGGGGTCAGGTCGAACTCCCTGACCTCCATTGTGTCGCATTCAACCGGCGATCCGGGCGCGTTGATGGCGTGATCACGTTGTTACAGCATGGTGGCAGCTTCATACTGCAGTCTGGCAAGGTCCGGGTCCTGAGCAACTGCGAGTGCTACGCCAGCTGGCCATACCACGTGACACCGCTTAAGATCTGCAGCAAGCCGGGATCGGGTAAACAGACGCACTGCTACGTAAGTGCGCCCCGTCTGAGTGTGTGCGTGATTTGCCAGGGGCCAGAAAATTGCTGCTGAGCAGGTTTGAAACATATTGGACTGCTGCGCGCGTGGCAGCGGTTGAATATGTTGGACATAATAATCCTCTGCTCGCTAGCGTTATAAGACAAGAATCTACTTTGGTATTAAGTCAGAAATGCATGAACACTGAGGAAAGCAGGAGCAAAACGCGTGGAAGTTCAATCTGGCTAATTGAACTCCGGACATGTTGCCGTCCCGCCATCACGTACTGAGCAGCGCGTGTGCCGGCCGCCAGGGCGACAGCGGCGGCCCTCTGATGGTGCTGACCGGCGGCCGCTGGACCCAGATCGGCATCAGCAGCTTCACGGCCGCTAACCAGGCCTGCAACCCGGAGGCGCCGGCCGGCTACACCCGAGTCGGCCCCTACCTCAGCTGGATCCAGGAGCACACCAAAATCCCACTGCCCATGCTGTGACGCCGGCGCTAGCGTCCTCTCTGAGGGCTGGCAGTGACGTAGCAAACGAGACGTTAGGTGGTGCTGCGGCGCGTACGTCGTCGCGGCAGGTGGCGCAGCTGTGGCTGGCTTGCAGGCTTAAGTCGCGTCGGTTGAGCTATGTGCTCCGACGATTGAGTCTGCTCTGGCCTGGCTTGTATGGCCTGCGATATGGACATGCATAGAATCATTAGTCACTCTGAGTGCTATTGCAGTGCTCAGGTAGTGGTGGCCAGACGCAGACTGTGCAAATATGTACCAATGTTGTTTTTTTTTACATGCCATATGAGCGCAAAGCTTCGAGTTTGGTCCTCGAATATGTGTTGCTAAAATGTGTGATTAGGCTCAAGGAACTGCATAGGGTACAGTCGTTGTAATTCCTTGTGCCTATTTCCAGGGTGTTTTCAAAACCAAATCACAGGGAGTAGTCACTTAAGTGTCCACATTGTAATAAAACGCCATGAGGCAACTGTCATATCGTCAAACATACAGCCATTTGCGTGTTCGGGATTTCTTAGATGTTGCATTGCATGTAATACATGTGATATGCAGTGCTCTCGTTACAATACCTGGCAAGACGTGGCGTACTTCTTCAATGAATATGCGATACCTTTTGCTAAAGGTCAGGTATTTGTCGCATTAAAGGATAACTGTATCGGTGAATGCTTATCTTGCCAATTTCATATACTGTTTATAAGTCAGGGGTGCAAAATACAAAAAGGGGCGTTTCACAAAATGCCACCATTGCCCTCACATCATGAGATATGGCTTAGTGAGAGATTATGTGTTCACACACAGGCACGCATGCACGCATATATATATATATATATATATATATATATATATATATATATATATATATATATATGACAGTACAATTTGGAGGCAACTTTTCTTCGGGGATGTTGCGTTGATATTGAAATCTTATCTGACATTAGCCTTCTTTTAAGATAATAATTCAATTTTTCGAGCTGAGCGTTTCCCACTATCTGAAAAACTGTTGTGTGTTTTTTTACATGCCATATGAGCGCAAAGCTTTTCAGATAGCGTTTCCCACTATCTGAAAAAAGGTACTTGTCATACTTTGTAACGTTTTATTGGTCTCGTGAACATCATCAGACAACAGGGGCACAATTACACTTAACAGCAATATGCGGCACGTTCGTGGTTGCGTCAGCTCAAAATTGCGTTTCTCATGTCTCTTGCTCAAAATAGGTCGATTGGTTTCAAGAAAGAACCGCGATGATGCACAGAACTAATGGGCACCTCGTACCATGACGAACACCGGTAAGTCTTTACCCAGTTTCATGCCCCCCCCCCCCCCCCTCCAATTTACAACTTGTTTCTAGGTGCCAGTGGCCGTCATCCCACAATCACAGTGGGGCCCACATATTCACCTGCCGGTTGATTCCTAGATCTTTTCCGTGATATTGACAGCTTCCAGCACTTTCAATCTCACTTTTGTGAGGTCTTAGCCGGTATGGTGACATTTTCTGCTTATTCGCATCGGGATAGTGTCCTTCCATGAACTAATGTCACATGCTGCTTTGGCGCACCGACCTGAAGGTGCATCGTCATCCGTCTTGATAGTGTGGTCGTAGTATAATCGGTGTGCGAGTTTGGTCGACGCGCGCAGTCGCCGATGGGGCATTTGAACTGGTGAACAACGTTAGTTATTTTCAGCAACGAAATCAATTTTTGTAAATTATTAGGGGACCGAACCGAAGGCCCGACAATGTACCCCCAATGTACCCCCTATTACAATGTATCCCCCCCCTCCACACACACACACTTTTTCTCACCGGATTTAGCCCATTTTATTTTGATTAAACGCACTATATGTTTTTAATCTTAAAATGATTCATAAAAATCCTTACTTTAAGCAGCATAGAACTCATGCAGGGTTGGATCCAGGGGGCAGGCGCTGGACGCACGCGTCTTTTCTGATCGGCACGTGAAGGCACCTCTTTAGAAACCACCTTTGGGCGCCGATGGCGCTTTTCTACGACGGTCACCCATTTTGGTTGTGGGGGACGTGGACGGGGCTAGCCATGAAAGACTTCGGTCATCCCCATATACCAGAGCTTTACACTTCAGCCTCACAAGCCATTGCATGTCTTGTGGCGCTGGGTATGTGAAGTTTATAGCATCGCTTATCGGCTCAGCTGTTTCTATTTGTATCTTGTGGTGAAAGCAACCATGACTTTTTGTTGAGAGTGGTACGAGACACCACTACGCAGAAAGATCAAAGAAGATAGTCTTTGTGCTGTGATCATCTTTCACCCACATTTTTGTAGCATTCCAGCCAAAAAAATTGGGGGGCCAAGCCAACATTGGGGGGGGGAACTCAACATTGGGGGGCGGGGGCAGGGCTCTAACAAAAGAATGCACGTCCGACACCCGTGATTTTCAGTGTTGTGAGTAATTTGTTGACAGGTCGTTTTTCATAATTAGGTTTGATATTCCGGGACTTTTGTAGGTGAATTGTGAGCTTGACGTTGTCGTCGGGACTTGCTGGGAAGCAGCTTCTTGATAGTATTTGCCAATAGCTTTCACTTCAGCTTGCCGCACGTAACATGATGGTGACCAGTATGGGGGCCTAAGAGTTAAGGTAGAAAAAATTAAGAATGTGAACGATGCTGGAAAACTGTGCGTAAGCTATTCTTCAAAATAAATGCAATTTATGCTCACTATTCAGCTCTCATTCGACCTTGCGTCTCGCTTAGAATGATTCAGTAGCCCATGGCAACTGATGGAATTGCCCACGGATTGTCATTATGGGATTTCCCATTGGTGAGATCCAAGCGGCTTAGTACAGGGCGATGACGTCACTATAGCCTTTCGGCTCCGCCGCCGCCGCGGCGCTGGCTCCATCGCCCCATCGCGGTGAAAGTATCCCATTTGGTACAGTGCCTAAGCGTTTCAAAGCGATACGATGTGTCTGATACTTTGGAGAGTTTGTGCACATTTCTCTTGTGACAGGAGTGGCAAGGCGTCGGTCGCTCGCAGGGAAACGTGGGTTGTCTCGCATGTGGTTTGTGGCTGTGCTGGACCTGCTCCGGTGTCGCCCCCTTGGGTATATCTGACTTGGAGACTGGCTAGTGGTCACTGTCTAGCTGGTCCATTGGGGTGTCCCGACGTCGGTATGGAGCTGTTTGAGAATGACATCGTGTTGGGACTGAAGAGGAACGAGACGTAGAGACTTCCATTCACACAGCTCTAGACAGAAAACAGAGGGGCGGGCCTCCAGCCGTTTTATGAAGCAGAAAATGACCCACGTATGTAAAACCGCTGGGGTGGCATCGTCCTTTCTGAGACACGCTGACCGGGCTGTGTGCTTGGGCTATAGTTCTTTGCCGCTTTGAAACACTTTAGGTGCACTGTGTAAGGAGTATGCTGGGGTCACAGCGGCCGCCTTTGAAGGCGTGGCATGGGATCTTTGTGAAGCCTGCTCAGGTCACAGCGGGACGTCCAGCCCAGACTGTATGGAGCTTGCCTAGGCCTCAGTGGCCACCTTGGAACGCACGAGCCAACTGTGTATTGAGCGTGCTGAGGCCACAGGCGCCGAGTTCGGAAGCGCAGTCCGGGCTCTGTATGGAGGCTGCTGAGGCTAAAGCGGGAGTCGGCTTGCACCTGAGGTCTGCTTTGGAAATATCGTGCCATCCACTGCGGTTCACAACAAGTGTATCACAAGCGGCCCGGCCAAGCTCAGCCGGGACGTCCAGATCGGAGATATCGGACAGATTGACCGCCAGGCTGGCCTGGCTCGAGGGCCGCTAGCACACGCTGGTGTATGGCATCTATAACGGGAGTACAAGGCAGAAGCTACCGCGACATCAATTCCGCCCGAATTTTATGGCCAAAATGCTGAACAACTGCTTAAACACTAATAAACTGCTTTAAGCAACTGCATGAAATAAATCACCGGCGCTCTTTATTTTACAATGGTCCAGTGAACTACCTCTAATCCGATCGGACTCAGAAGCGTTGTCAGGATTTTATCTGGGCTCTACAGACATCTTAAGGACCTCGCGAATATAGATTGTAGATTGCAATCGGTCAACAAGTTGCAGTAACATGGCCAAGCCGGGTTTGTCTGGAAATGCTCAACATTCACTCAGCATCGATTAGTGATACAAATTATTCAGCGTAGTGTTGGGCAGGCGCGCTCGCAAATCTTGGCAACAAAACCTCGATGCCAGGCGTCGCGGCGTCCTTATCCCGTGCAGCGTTGGCCCCGTGGCTAATATTGAGCCGTGGTCAATGGGAAAACGAAAACCTTGACGCTTCTGAAAAAGTACCCTTGAACGCCTTAAGACACAAAATATTACATTTAGAATGTGGTCCGAGCGAATATTTCACCTGTGTGATTCTTAAATTAATGATAGGAACGGATTGGCACTCACAGCACCGCGAAGCGGTGCTGAAATCTGGCGGTGAATCTGAAAGAGTAAAGATAGAAACGCTATTCTCCATGTTGCTGTATATGTTAATCTGTTAGAGGACAGCCCCAAAATGGTAAAAACAAGATATGCACGCTAAGCCTAATCTTCTGTTAGGAAGACATTCGTAACCATCATTTCAGGACGATCGTTCGCGCACGGCGCCACACGGTGCCACTGCACTGGCTATCGCCGTCCGAGTTTACGGAAGCTGCCATTCAGGCCATCGCTGCACGTGCTCCCGGCATTGCAGGTGCGTAAGCTCAAACCATTAATGTAATTTGCTTCACTAGTCGATTCTGCACAAGAGTGAACATTCTGAGGCAAGCACAGGACGGCCTTGATTATTTTTAATTCATTCGACCCACTTTATTCAACACTTATGAGACCCCTTAGGTCTCTCCGGGAAAGGGGCCCGCTTGAATAGAACACTAGAGGCATATTGCTGTTCCCAGGAAAGGGCTGAATGGGCATTCCGTTCCACCATGAAGTGTCTCCCTGCTATCATTCTGTTGGCACGGGGTGGGATCTCCAGGTCGATCCGGAGGCCCTTAAAGGGAATATACACATGACATTGTTCCTCTCTCTGACGCGGGAGGCCTCCCGACCGGCGCAGTTGGCCCTGGATCGATGCAGGAGCCCTTATTGACGCAACAACATTCCTGATCGCCGCAGGAGGCTCAATAATTGTCACTTAAACTCCAGTGCTTGAATTAGGTTTGAGGGCCCGCTGTTCGGTACTGGGGGTCCCGACTGACGCAGGAGCCTGCCATTATCTCAATATGAACACTAACCATAAGTGCTCAAGTTTTATTGCACTGTTAGAAGGCCCGACCAAAGCAAGCGGCCCTTTGCTTTCCGAATTCCCGTCCTCGTCACCATTGAGCAAATGTCTCCCTGACCAACTCGAAGCCGCTTATTGGCGCAGAACGCCCTGCTATGTTCTTTGGACCCCTGATCGATACAGGAGCACCACATTGTTGCAGGGGCCCTGACCAATGTAAAAATGGCCCGGACCGATTCGGAGCCACTTGCCGCCACAAGACCCCTGTTAGGCACTTTGGCCTCTAACCGACACAGGAGCCGCTCATTGCGTCAGGGACCCCAAACATTGCAAATCGCGGGCGCCGGCCTCGCTCTTCCTTTGGAAATAGGGCCAAAACGCTCAGTCGGACTTGGAGTCGACTGGTTGGCCCCATCTCGAGGCCCTATGTGATAAGGAGAGAGAACGCTTATAAGAGGGGCAGGATAGAGGCCCTCTGACTGACATTGCAGATAACGGCACTACAGGTTGCGATTCTTTATGTGACCCACAGCCAGTCCTTTCAGGCTCTTATGCCCTTCAGCCGGGCCCTTATCATCGGTTCCCGTGGGACCGCGCTGGCCCTTCTTCGGGCCTCATCGAACAGTGCCCTTGGTCAGCTTCGGGCCCCTTGCGAACACAGGATCTTCTGTTAGGCGCTGTGGACCCCTGACATATACGCAGTCCCCGACCAGTGTAAATCGCTGGCTCCGGCTTACATATAGACTGACATATAGGCCCTTATCGACTCAGGGGGCCCTAATCAACGCACAGGGCCCTCTGGCTGGTGTTTGAGTGCCGGGGCCCCTGAATACGACCTCCGGCTGGCTTTTCGGATCCTTCGGGCTCTTAAATGACGCCGTTAATCGTGGGTCACGAGAGGCTCAAAAGGCCTCTCGGGACCTAACGGGGGACACGTACCACCTTTGCCCTCTTCTCTTCCCACGTTAGTGATAGATACGTAAGATAGTGGCCTTGACATACCATTCACATGAAGCTTCTCGGCATACCAAAATTTTCACCGATAAAGCATGTGCGTTTCAGTTAATGTAAGACAGAGCAAAATCTACACGCATCATTTCAGAAAATGGTTCTCGACCTTTCCCTGAAAACGCTTGGGCACGCACCCTTCTCTTGGAAATACCTTTCCCTGCTCACTTCATCGACTACGCATTGCGAACCAGCTGCATTTCTGGAACACACTGCTCCAAGCTGTTGTGCCGCCAAGGGGAAAGCGACCCTAGTCCGCTTTCGTTCGAATCTACGGCAAATGAAACGACCATCATGTCAATGTCACCCGCAACGCAGGTCAATTGTAATAGCATTGCTAGTTGAGTTAGCTCCTCAGTGGTCTCAGTTCGTCTGGGGAGGCTAAGCCTTTGTTCAGAACCGAGTAGGAGAAAAATTACATAGCATAGCTTTAACCATGCGAGCTCTCAAGCCCTAGATAAAAAACCCCAATGCCCGACGTTGCAGTCTTCCTGGGCCGCGCGGCGTCGCCCCTTGCTGATAGGAGACGCAGTGACCGGTGAGCGTACGAAAACGGCAACGTTTCTGAGAGAAGTACCTATGAAGGCTTTAGAATATCACTTGGTACGTTTAAAAGGTGGTCCGGGAACATGTTTCACCTGCGAAACATGGATAATCATTGAAGGAATGGATTAGCATTAACAACACTGCGAACCGACGCCGAATTTATGCCGGATGCCGGATTTATGCCGAATGCCGGATGCCTGATGCGGAACTAGACAAGTAAACGTAGGGCCTCTCTTTTCTTGTCGCTGGCGTTTTTACCTGTTCAGAGGACATCCTCCAATTTTACAGGTGAAATTTATGCCCCAGTCTTTTTATGAACGGTGCGAATTCATTTTCAAAGACTTTCGGAGGCACTATTTCACGACGGCTGTTCTCGCGCGTCAAGCGCCAGCCGCCCGGTGCTGGCCCGCCAACACTGCTCGGTTTGGAAACTACAACGTCGGCCATCGGTGTTCTTCCTTTTTGGATTGCCAGCACGCATGCTCAAAGCTTTTTTGTGCAATTTGTTTCACATGTTGCTCCAGAGCAAGGATGGATGCAGTGGTGTCGCTTTTAAAATAGGTTGGGTAGGGGGTGGGTGGTTGGGATGGGCCAATATAGTTGACCTAGCCTGCCCTCGAATCCTGATTTCTTCCGGCTGTTGGCAACTCTGATTTGCGACCCTGATATCAGAATTGACACAAGACAAATTTTCGGTGGTTTCCAAAATTTTTTTGATATTGAGGAATGAACGGCTTCATTCTGAATTCAATTTGACAGTGAAAATGATGACATGTGAGGATGGTAATACAGATAGCGACGCATCAAGGACCTACTGCACCAGCAACTCAGGCACAAGCTTTATTTCATTTGTCCAATGTTCCTTTTTCAATCAAGCACTTGATCGTCGGTCCCGAGGGGCCTTCGGGCCCCTGGGCCCCCACGAGCATTTTCCCGGGCCGATTCTTCGCTCCTTGCCATACAAGACCCTTGTTATGCACTGTGGTCCTCAGATCGGCGTTACAGGGGCCGCTTCAGTGTCTCAGTGGGCCCGAACAATGTAAATCGAGGACCCCGGCCTTGCCCCTGCTTGAGAAATGGGCCCTGAGTCCCACACCTGACGATGAAGTGATCTGGTGGCAAACCCGCCACGTGTCACGGTCGTTAAGCCTCCACCACAGTGGTGTTGTTTCGCAAAACAGGCTAGATGATTGGATGGGAAACCCTAGCCTTAAATGCGCCAATCAAAAGGTTTCTTCCCGGATTTAACTCACTTTCCTCTCAGCGCAATGGAGCTTGATTTCCATCAAGTTAAGTGGGAAACTACAGCACTGCTCGAATGCGCTTCCTCGCTATAACTCGGCAGACGATGTTGTCGTTGGGCACCATGACCATTTCGTTTGGCGTTGATCTCCAAAACTAGGTTTCAGCAATCGACGCAGGGTCGATGTTGTGTGGCTTCAGACGTTGTTGGACGTGTATAGCTTTGAGAGTGAAGAGAGTAAAAAGTCTACATCACTTCATTAAGTAGATGTGCGTGACTGCCAGGGAAACCCCCAGCTGGTAGCCGTAAGGCTGGATACAGGTTGCAACGCAGCACTCGCGTCAGGCATGTTCGACACGGCTAGTGCTGTTTTGACGGCCACGATCGCCATTGTCGGATAATTGCTGTCAACAGTTAAGTGGGCTGGTGTAAAAGCGTTGCTGGCGAAAATTTTTCACCTTTTTGGGCCCCAACATTTGACAGCCTTGTTTTCAATTTCCGATAAAACATCGTATGGCATCGTGGCAAAATAACGCAACTTATTGCAGTCTGTGGATCTTTAACCATCCCTGAATGATGCCAAAACACGAAGACAATAGCACAAAACTACATCATAGTCAGTAAAACATGTTAATCGTATCAGTTAAAGCATGCATTATACAAGAAAATAGCACAGAAAATAAAGTAAGCACGTGGTGCTTTTACGGTGTGATTAGCTCAGTCAGCTACACTGAACTAAACATGAGATCGGTTTTTTAATTTCTTTTGTTCCTTGTTCATGTGAAACAATAAGCTAAAGGCCTCCTTTATGATTTAAATAATTTTGATCTTCCATTTTTTAGTGCCCTGTGTGTACTCTGGCTCCAGAAGACCAGGGGACCAAACTCAACTTTGGAGTGGGGGCAAATTGAAAATTCGGGGCCAACAGCCCACCCACAGGAATACAAATAGATGTCAGTATAGCGGGTGTCGATGTGTATGTTAAAGTAGACTTAAAATGCACCTGAAAACCAAGCAAGCTTCAGCCAAATTTGTACCAGGCTTTGACGTCATATTTAGCCCACATCTTGACCAATCGACAGAACGAACAAACTCCACCTTGAAAAAGTGCAACAGCTGATGGATCCTTCCGGATAGCCCTGTCTTTTACGGCCCATGTCGTGTACGGGGCTACGGCCTACAGCTGTATATAAGAGCTGTTATAAGGCATTGTATACGAGTGTCGTGCCATCCGCGGTTACTGGGTGCCATCAGTGTGACGGATAGATGACTGACTTGCCGTCGTTATCGTAGCGACTGTTATTTTGAAAGGTAAGTTGATGTCCGTAGGATGTTCCTGTTTTATGATTGTGTATAGTGTTTGACGTCTTTAAAGGATCTGTTTATGAACAATTTGAACAATGTGAGGCACTAATCTGAATGCTGACTAAACCCATAAATGTTGCATGGTCCCATTTTCAAGAAGATTGTATGGTTGTAATGATTTTTGCAGAGCCTTAAAAGTAATTGAGAACTGCCAATGATTCCAGGGGAGAACAACAGGAGTCAGACTAGAAGGTTACAATATGGACAAACACTCAAAGTCCCTGTTAAAGTCTGCAAAAGAAGCCATTAAGGGAAAGGATCATGCAGCAGCTCTGGAATTATGTAAGGAAGTGCTATCAACAGACAAGAAAAACTACACAGCCCTTGTGTTTAGTGGAGCATGCTATCAAGAGTTAGGTGATGCAGAAAAGACAGTTGAGATGTTTGAAAGGGCTATTGAAATTTCATCAGAGTTGCCATTGGCTTGGCAAGGACTGGGCTCATTCTATGAAAAAGCAGGATCTTCCAAGCATCAAGACAGCTTGATAAAAGTCTACTCCAAGCTGCTGAGTATCCTCTCCAATGATGAGGGTAAAGCTGCTGAGCTTTGTTCCAAGTTATCCTGGCTGCTAGTGCATGCAAACAGGCTTGGTGAATGCATCCAGACATTGTGTAGGTGGAGCATATGTAGCAAAGAGAGCTTTGACCCTTCTAAAATAACTACAGTCTTGAAAGACAAGAAGGTCTCAGATGAACAGGCTGAAGAAATTCTCAACATTTTAAACAAAGTCATTTCAGAGGAGAACACTGCAAGAAATAAAGAGTTTTTGTCCCATCAAGCTATTCTACTACAACAGCTCTCAAGGTGGCCACAGTTGCTTGCTGTAGCTCAGCTCATGTGGAGAACATTTCCGGACAGTGTGGTTGCAGCTGAATGGATCCTGCGTGTGTATGTGGAATCAGCTGAAACCGTTACACAGCTGGATACAGTCCTGGCTTTCATGGACACCAATGAGCCAGACAACATATGGTCTCAAATAAGCCGTGGCAAACTACTCTTCCTGAAGGCAGACTGGGCCGGCACGCTTCAACAGCTGGAGCCTGGAGCGCTGGGCACTGCCGGCGACATCGCCGCCGTGCACTTGATGCGCGGCCGTGCGCAGCTGGCAGTGCATGGCTATGCTGGCGCCGAGCGCAGCCTGCAGGCCGCGCTGAGCCGCGCGGCCGGCGGCGACGCGTCGCTGCTGCTTGCCGAGGCGCTGGTGCGCCAGGGTGCCGCGCGCGCCGCCGAGGCCGAGGCGCTGCTGGCCACGCTGCCCGAGTCGGCGCGCCGCGGCTGGCTGCTGGCTGAGGCGCGGCTTCGGCTGGGCCGGCTCAGCGAGGCGGAGGCGGCCGCCGCGCCGCTCGAAGTGCGCGCCGAATGGCTGCGCGCCGCCGGCCGGTCGGAGGAGGCGCTGCGCGTGCTGCAGGCCGAGCCAGCCGGCACGGCCGAGAGGCTGCGCGCGCTCGGCCTGACGCTCTGGAGCGTTGGCAGCCGCGAGCAGGCAGCCGCCCGATTCCTGGAGGCGGCCAAGCAGGACCCGCACCATCCGGAGCCGTTCTTCTACCTGGGCCAGTACTACGAACAGGTGGGCGGCGACGCTAGCCGCGCCCTGCGCTGCTACCAGAAGGCGTGCCGGCTGTGCCCGGGCGAGCCGCGCGCCAGCGCCGCGCTCAGCGACCTCTACCGGCAGCGCGGCGAGCACGAGCTGAACGTGGCGCTGCTGACGGCCGTGACGGAGAGCCGGCCAGACGCGGTGGCCAGTCGCTGGGCCTGGTTCCGGCTGGGACTGCACCACCTGCAGGCGAGCGAGCCGCAGCGCGCCGTCAGCTGCCTGCAGACAGTGGTGCGCGCCGAGCCGGCGGACGCCGTCGCCTGGGAATGCCTGGGTGATGCGTACCGGCTGCGCGGCGCGTACACGTCGGCCGTGCAGGCGTTCGGTCGCGCCGCCGCGCTGGACCAGTCGGCGGTGTACGCGCGCCTCCAGGTGGCCGAAATTCGCCAGCGGCTCGGCCTACTGCAGGAAGCCGAGGATGGCTATCTAGACACACTGCGCGCTCGGCCCGGCTACGTGCCGGCGCTGAAGGGTCTCGGCGAGACGCACCTGCGGCGCGCGCACGAGCTGTTGCGCCGCCAGCTGCCCGGCAGCGCGCACGATAGCTGCCAGCTGGCGGCCGACGCGCTGGCGGCGGCCGTGCTTGACCAGGCCGGCATGAGCTGCCTCTGGAAGGAGCTGGCCGACGTGCTGTATCTGACTGCTACGCTGCCACCCCGCTACCGCCGGCTGGATGTGCCGCACCAACTGCTGCCTGCCGCCGACGAGCGGACCGCCGAGACGGGCACGCTTGCGGCCGCCCAACTGGCAGACGTGGCCATCCGCTGCTACTCGCAGGCGGTGGCCATCGAAGACCGGGGCAGTCTGTGGCACGACCTGGCGCAGACGTACCGGCTGCGTGCGGCCATGTGCGACGCTAGCGAGGCAGAGGCGGCCGAGCGGGCGGCTCAGCGCGCGCTGCAGTGCGCCCATCAGGCGACGCGGCTCCTGCCGACCGACCCGTCCGTGTGGAACACCCTGGGCGTGATCGCCTGTGGGCGTCACGTGCACGACCGCCGGCTGGCGCAGCACGCGTTCATTAAGTCGCTGCGCCTGATGGAGACGGCCATGGTGTGGACCAACCTGGCCTGCCTTTACATGCTGAGCGACCAGCTGATGCTGGCGCACGAGGCGCTCACCAAGGCGCAGAGCGTCGAGCCGGCCTACTGCGGCGCCTGGACGGGCCAGGCGCTGATAGCCGAGCGCCTGGACCCCGATCAGGCCATGGATCTGTTCCGGCACGCCGTCTCGCTGGCGCCGCACCCGCTGGCGGCGCTCGGCTACGGCCGCTGGGTCAGCCGTGAGTTGCGCGACCCGGCCGCCTGGAACACCGCTCGGTACCGCTTCAACATCGAGCGCATGCAGGCGGTGACGGTGGCGAGCGACGCCCTGGCCTGCTACACGGACGCCGCGCCCGATGACGCGGCCGGTTGGAACCTGGCCGGGCTGCTGGCTGAACGGCAGGGCCGCCGGCGCGGTGCGCTGGACGCCTGCCAGCGCGCGCTGGCGCTGCTGGAGGGCGCGACGGACGTCGAGCCGGCGGCGGTGGACGCAGTGCGCGTCAACTGCGCCCGCCTGCTGACGGCGACCGGTCGCTGCCCGGAGGCGATCGCCGAGTACGGCCGGCTGTCGGAGGCCAGCTTCCACTCGCAGTGCGGCCTGGCGCTGGCGCTGCACCGCGCCGAGCGCTACGAGCAGGCGTACGAGGCGTACGAGGGGGCGCTCCACTGGCTTACGCCTGATGATGCTAATCGGTCGCACACGCTCGTGGCCGTGGCCACCATGCTGTACCAGTTCGGCGACGCTGAGAACGCGCGCACACAGCTGCTGAAGAGCTTTCAGCTGGAGCCGGCGTCGGAGCGGGGCCTGCTGGCGCTGACGGCGCTGGCGCTGCGACGCGACGACGCGTCGCTGGCGCTGGCCTGCGAGGGCGAGCTGGCGCAGCGGCGGCTACAGGCGGGCCTGGCTGCCGACCGGGCTCTGCTGGAGGCGTGCCTGCGGCTGGCGCGCGGTGACGGCGCTGGCGCGGTGCGCGCGCTGCAGGCGGCCGTGCACCGGCACCCGCAACAGTCCCGTCTCTGGCGACTGCTGTGTGCCGGACTGCTACAGTTGCGGCCTGAGCTGACAGCGGCTGCCGTCACCACCGCCGCCGCCGCACAGCGCCTGGACGCGTCCGCTGACCAGGACGCCGACGAGGTGAGCATCATCTCTCCACCGAACGCGTGGTCCGGCCCGGCCGGAGATCGTGGCGCGCCGCTGACCCAGCGCTGGTCAAGTCGCGCCCGTCCCGTGCCGCTGGGGGTGACGGCACTCCGTGTGTGCCTTAATGCGATGTCCCTCCTGTCTGTCCCAAGCCCGTCTCCCGCTGTGTACGTACATGTCCATCTGCGCCTGTCGTGGACAGCTTAGACGGCCAGGCTTTGTGGGAATACCCGAAAAGCCAGAAAGATTGGAAAGATGAAACGGTGTATGGTTGTAGGCGATGCTTGTCACCAGTGATCCTATTGGTCGGTGACGGCCCTTCGGGTGTGTTCATCGGTACGCGGAAGACCAGGATAAAGTCTGTGATACCCACCCGATCTCCTGCCTTCTTCACTCTCGTCTGTGCTGCCCGTCGTAGCCGATGATTCAAGCTGCCGCCTGACTGCTGCACACCCGGCGGACCCGATCTGCCAGGCCGAGGTACACTGACACCTGGACGCCCACCCCATTATTCCCTTCAGGGACTGCTGCGATTTAAGCGCGTGCGCTGACGGCTGACTGGCCGTGTGTGTCGGCAGGTAACGGACCTGGTGTGCCAGAGCCAGCTGCGCGCCGGCGAGGGCGCGGCGGCCCTGCGCGCCGCCCAGCGCGCCGTGCTGCGCCGGCCAGACAGCGCCGCCGCCTGGTGCGACCTGGTGGCGGCGCGGCTGGGCCGGCTGGACGCCGAGCCGGACCGGCGCCGGGCCGCGCTCGGCTGGCTGCGCGCCGCCGTCGCTCGGCTGCGGCGCGGCGCGCGGCTGGCGCGGCCGCTGGCTGCCTGGCTCAGCACGACCGACCGGCGCGTGGAGCTACTCATCGGCCAGGCCTAGCGACGGCCCGGCGCAGTGACGCGCGCCGCTGGCGCCGGCGGGCTGTGCTCTTTACCTGGGCTAAGCCGTGTGCAGAGCGGTGAGACGATCCGGACGTGGGGGCGTGCTAGAGACGTCCAGCGCGACGGCGTTTTCAGTTTTTGCTTTCACTGCTGCTGGCTGTTGTGACGACTGTCATCCCGTCTTTTGTGGCTTGTTCTGTCAAAGTTCCGCGAAGGCTTGAATCAGGACGTAAGGTACATTTCGGAGCACTTTCCTGATGTGATCACGATTGGGATTGGAGCGCGTAGCACGTCAGCAGGCCATTCGGTGCCATCCGGCGTCTGTTTGAGCGGTGCCTTAGTGTCGAGGCATGCCGAGTGTTTTCTGCGCTGATATGTATAAACGGTGTGTTGGCGCTTGCCGTATGCTGTTAACCCCGCTTACGCGAAATAAATCCGACCAAGAATGCAACCGTCGATTGACCTTGCAAAGTGAGGGGGAGGGGGGTATTTGTCGCGACCCGGACGAAAAAATGTAGGTGTATTCGCAGCGCACAGAGAATGTTCTATTTGATGGAACTTCACGTAGACTCGTTGTCGGACGTATCAGCCACCCTGCGTGTTTTCTGCTCACATCTTCGCAACGTGTCAATAACGGCGCATGCGAAATAATAGCATTTACGCTCGCATGTACCGAGCCTGTTTCCAACAATGGAAACTGCATACCGTTTGCAACATATAACACAGCTCTTCATGATCCGCGGTAGGTCCTGGGCGCGCAAATTAAATTGATTGTAATCGAACTTGTTCCGCCATTACTGTCACTTCGATCAAGTAGCGGGAAAAGATTCCGCGCGTCCGCGAGAGATTATACGCTACTTAAAGTAGAATGAATCTGTTTCGTCCGGGTCGCTGTGAACACCAAAAGGCGCAGAATCTGAGGCATGACGCCGACGGCATATATTTTTCGTCGTCCGGGTCGCCGCGAATACACCCTATGCCGCCGACGTCACTCTTGACGTCGTACCCCAAAGATTCTGCGCCGGTCAGTATTCGCCGCAACCCGATGCTATGTGGCGTCACTTGGAATCTTTGCCAGACAAGCAGAACATTTTTCTACGACTCCATCGGAGCGAGATAACGATGTCCAACGTATTTCATTATAGAAGTACATGCGTTTGCACACTCGCCTCACTGCCCTAAGATGGGAAGGTATTTTGAATGATCTGTTTTCTGCAGTTTCATACACGATTCTAAGTGCCCTGGCTGCCAACTAATAGTGGAAAACTTGAAACACGATCGGAAATGGCCGAATTTATCGAGCTGGCCCGTGCACGCGTGACACGCAGCACGTGTGACATGTCAAAGTATACCACGCGATTGTCCTTTCGGTTCCCATCTATGCATACTACCCTTTAGTTGGTAAGTGCCCTGGGTACCGAGATGTGGCGCAAAAATGGTAAACCTGTCAAAAACAGCAAATTCAGTATGTCTGAAGAGTGTGGGTGCGACACGTAACCCGCGCGTATGCACGCTCATGAAAACACAACTGGCTGCAAAATTCCTTACCGCAGCTGGACAGTCCGGTGTCGCTCCTTGCCCTGAACACGGAATCGTGGCGTGGAACGTAAACACTGACGGAATCAGCAAAGTGCATCTTCACAGTTGGTGTGCGCGTGAAGCATGGCACGTGCGATATCACGTTTCACACCACGTGATTGCACGTTAGATTGTCTATCCAAGCATGCTACCGCCGAGTCGCTTCGTGCCCTGGGTGCATAGATGGGAATCGAAAGGACAAAGCGAGCACGTATCGCAAATACGTGCAAATCTGTTGAAAATTGCAAAATCAATGTGCGCTGTGACACCTGCGACCGATGATTGTCATATCGTCCGTTACATTCCTTATCAAAGCATGCGATTCCCGCGTCGCGCTAAGCCACGGATCCCGAAAACGTGGCAGGAAATATGGGCGTCGTTGAAGACAGAAAACCCACACTACCCGCTCGTGTGACCGCGACACGTGGTCCGTGGAACCCAAAACTTGATGCCACCTAATCGCCCGTCCAATTTACTATTGACGCATGCCACAACCGAATCGCGTCGTGCCTTAAGTGCCGAGATGTAGTGCCACACTTGATGGACGTAAACTTCAAATCCATCTTGCTAGCGCGTGTGCATGTGACGCATGGTGCGTGGCACCGAAACATTTGAACCGACACCAACTTCAGCCGGCCTCAACGCCGCCGGCGGGCCCCAGACCCCCGCAGCCCGGCAGGCGGCCGCGCTCCGCCTGCCGCCATTCTCCGCCGAAGACGCGGAGCTCTGGTTGGTCCAAGTGGAGTGTGCCCTCGGCGTCGCGGGGGTGGCGACGACCTAGCCCGCTACCAGGTGCTGGCGTCGTCGCTGCCTACGGACGTGGCGGCCCAAGTGCGAGGTGTAATCACCAGCCCAGCACCCACATACGCGCTACTGACATCTGCACTGCGCCAACGCTTGGCGCACTCCAGGACGTCCCGCCTGGAGGCGCTACTGCGGAATCAGCAGCTGGGAAACCAGCGCCCGTCCCAGCTCCTGAGACGGATGCATGGCGAGCTGTCAGCAGCCGGCGATGCCCCAGCGGACCAGGGCCTGCTGAGGACACTTTTCCTCCAGCGCCTGCCTCACGCAGCCGCTGCCGCCCCCTCCACGCTGGACGAAACGATGCCACTGGGGGACCTAGCCCGTGCGGCAGACCGCTTCATGGAAGCATTAAGGCCGGTGTACCAGCCAGCCAGCCTGTCTGCCATCCAGCAGCCAGCACTGCTCACACCACCCGCACCAGCCCCAGTGACTGAGCTGTTGGCCACTGTAGCTAGCCTGACTGCCACCATCAGGGAGCTACAAATGGAGGTCCGCTCCATGCGGCAGGAGAGGGCCCACGGCCAGGACAGGTCTACACTCGACGCTGAATTCGAATGCAAATGTGTCGCCAACTTAGCGGGCGTATGGGAAACTATAGAGCTCCGTTTCAGACACCGTAGCTGTGGGCACCGGCTAAAGTTGCGTCTCTAACAGCACAACAGTTGTCAAATAACGATAAGGTGGTTTGTAACATCAAAAGGAGTAGGCAATCTGGTAGCAAAGCGGTTCAGTGACTTTTTATGAACGGGCTGAACCGTGCAAAACCGACGTGTACATCGGCCTTAAAGGTGATGCTTCACATTTGGAGATCTTGAAGCAAGCATCCGATATGTTGAAACAAGCTCACTTATAACAATAAGTATACTTATACTCCAGGCCGCATGAAGGATCCTGCCCCCCCCCCCCCCACTCAAAAATCGTGGCGCCGCCCCTGCATACAGGTGAGATTCGTTACATTAATACCCCGCCTCGGTCACTACGTAGAACTGCGCCCTCATCACTCATGAATAGGCTCGCTACCTGGGGGGGGGGGGGGGGGAGGGCGTGACCACCAGCCCACCTCCTCCCACCTTTCCAAATATCTACGAAAATGCTTCATCACACTGCCGTATCTTAATCTCACGTTGCATTACAAATTGCCTCACCTTTGTGGCCTGTCATAACGCCATGAAAACAAGCTACATTTGTGAACGAACGGTTCTGAAACGATGACGTCATCCAAAAACGGGAACAGCATCACGGGAACAATCCACCAGTTTATTCGAGCAAGCTAAGCATTACATTATGGGATACACCCGCCCATAACGTCCTCTGCAGACCCGCAAGACTGACTCAGTGAATCCTTACAGCATGACACGTACAATGCCACAGCCATCACGGAAATCCCAGCATCCGGCCAATTATCGATCTTATCGCATCCATATTCTTTGATTTACAGTGAGCAGCATTGCCAACGATCCAAAAAACACCAACGATTGCACTTGCCACAGATGCCTTTTGTCACATCCAAAGTTAAACAGCTATTCCGTAGACATACCGTAACATCACAGCACAATTACGCGTAGGGCTACAGCAGCCGGCACACCACCAGGCCAGCGCGCCGACACACAGTTCTTCCCACAAATATTAACCTAACTGACGCGAACAACCATGCACAGCAATACCACGCCAGACAGGTACCCGAGGACAACCAGCGTAAGGGTGCGGCATCTGCAGCCCGAGGGGCGACCGGCCCAGCTCAGCGGGCCGCACACGGTCACGACACGCGGCGCTCGTGGCAGTGCTCCGTCAGCAGCGACGCGCTACGGCGCAACCACCGCAACCAGCTTAACAGCCCAACAACAGCGCGCGATCGCGTCACATCGCCGTACGTGCCCAGATTCCAGCGTATCACATGGGCTTGAGCGCTGGGCCTATTACCCCGGGTAGCTGTACTCTTCTGGGGGCTCGGCAGCGATTCTGAGCTTCCTGAAGTGTGTGACGTTACAGCTTTCCCCGGTTCAGCCAACGCAGAACGGGTCACGGGGATTCAGCTTCTACAATCATCTCATATACAGGTGGTGCACCGAGGTCGCCGAACGCAACTTAACGCTTGAGAAACGCGCTTTTTTAATCCTCACAATAAGCTATTTCGGCAACTTTTTTGTCACACCACCCTCCAATGTCCTGCCTGGCATAGCTTGAGCAGCAGACGTTACGATTTTTGAGGCACGTTTTAAAACAATGGTAAAATGACGCCGGCCAGGCCGAGCTACACGCTGCTCCGGCTACTTGTACTGTCGCTTTATAACGTAACAATATCTCAAATATGCTTACATTGGCCCGTGCACATCTCGCTTGATGGACCTTACCTGCTTAACTCCGTCAACTTTACCTTTTCTGGCCTTCCGTATTATGTAACAGTGCAAGCGCAGGAGGTACAGGAGCAGGTACACGTAGATCTATACGCGCCACAAAGATACACGGATGACGATTGCACACGTCCCGTGGAATATTCGATTTCCCCGAAGCCACGTGGCATTTACACGTACTCAAGAATGCATTGCTGCTGCGCTGTGGGTGATGAGTGCGCGTCGAATACGAAACACTACCAAATACACATATTTAATGATCAGTACCCAACTATTCCGATCAAGACATTGAACACGGATGAGCTCGTGGGACGATACAGCTGACGCGAGCGCGCCCCGCATGCGCCAGCGTTCTCCACTGAGCACACTTAATGAGCTGGAAAACTGAACGCATTACAGTACATGCTCATTACATCGCAAATATAGAGCACATTTAACATAGATGCAAGCGCGCGTTGAGCACGACCGCGGGCCGAGGAAACCCATGGGGGGCAAAATACATTTTGATTGTGTCGTGCAGACAAAATCCCCGATGGTCGTTTCTGCACCGCTGTGGCCGACACACGATCGCTGCAACGATCACTTCTCACACCGTGTATTCGGTGTCAGTAGTCTAGGTCCCGTGTAACATGCACCAGGAGGATCGTGTGCCAGTCGCTAGTGATGGTAGGAGCGTCCACCAAACCTGCCCCCACCCCCCTCCCTCCGGCTATGGCCGCCCCGCCCTGCACAGCACGGCTGCATGGGTGCGCCCAGCCCAGTCGGTGGTTCGGAAACGCCTGTCGGTAACATGCGCGCTCTTCGAACACCGACTGACGCCGGTCACGCCGTGCCCGTCGCCCGGGGGCCGACACGTGTGGTGCGGCCGCGCCGAAACCCGACCTGCTGGGCTCCCCGCCAGCCCAAGCGGCGGCGCCGGGGCCGCCGGCTAGCGGCTGGCCGGGCTGCAGAAGGCGACATCGCACGCGCCGGCCTGCGACACGGGCGGGCTGGCCAGCGGCGCTCCCCAGTGACAGGTGGCCGTCTGTGTCGGCAGGCGCCGCAGCGCAGCGGCCGGGGTGCCGGCCACGTACACCGCGCCGCCGCCGGAGGAGGACAGGTGAGTGTACAGGGACCCGGCCGCCGCTCGGCCAGGCGGCACCGCCGGCGGCGGCGGCGCCAGGCCGGCGGTGCCGGCGAACGGCGCCGGCAGCAGGGTCTGAGCCGCGTGAACAGGTAGCGGCGAGTACCAGACGGACTTGCCGTCGGGGACGGGCTGATGCTCGGCCGGCGGGACAGCCGGCGACGGCGGATAGCCCGGGGGCACGGCGCCAGGGCACGGCGAGTAGCCGAGCAGCTTAGCCGGGGGGCAGGGAGGGTAGGCGGGGCAGGGCATGGCAAACAGCCCCAGGTGCCTGGGTGCCAGGTCAGTCGCAGAGGGCGCGAACTCGGGGCGCTCATGCTTCGAAACACCCGCGTACCCCGCGGACCCGTCGGCGGGCGGTGACTGGCAGGCGGACGTCGAGAGCGCAGACGGCGGTTCGCAGTCGGCTGACGTGACGCCATGCCCAGCTCCGTGGGCTGACATCATGACCGGCGGCTGTGTCGGGCTGTATAGAGCATAGCCAGGATCAGTGTCGGGGAACTCACTTTTGATGCCGGCGGGCGAGCCGGTGGGGTGGGCTGGGGGGAAGCCGTATGTCGGGGTCCTGTCGGCCGGCGCCGGCTCGTACGCCGCCGGACTGGGGGCCGGGTACGGACAGAGCTCCGCCGCCGGCGCTGCGCCCGGCAGGTGTCCGCCAGGGGATGCCCCTGACACCGGCGTGACGCTCCGCGGGGGCGCCACCGGCGGTGACGCGTAGCCCGAGGCGACGGCGGCGGCGGGCGGCAGGTAGGCGGCAGGAGCGAGTACGGAAGGCGACGGTGCCGACTCGCCGAGCCCCACCAGCGGCGGCGGCTTGTAGTACGAGACGGCCTGGCACGGGGAGGACGGCGGAGAGCTCTGGTGGTGCGCCGAGGCGGGAGAGTCTTCGATTATCTCCGGAGTCACCTCCATTCGGACCATGTTCGGCACCACTGCAACCAAACAATAGTCACGTGCCGGAAAGTCAACGAGTCAAATCACACGCGTCACACAGGATCGACTAGCCAGCTCCGTCATTATTGGACGTGAAGACCTTCTGAACGTTTAGAGAATGGGTGTGAGAAACGGGCTATTTGAGAACGCTTGAAAGTTGAGCAGTGCACCTGAGCGTGGATTTTTGATGAATAAAATGTACTAAATATAACACATGTTCATACTCTAAAATATCACATCGCATCAATATGTATCTGATCAAACATCCAAGACACAGCCGATCGACTTAATGATGTTAAATTGAGGTTCGTTTCAATACGTCCAAGACCGTATACTTATAGACCGCATGCGTATACCTATACAAGACCGCATACCGTAAGACCCACCACGGCCCATGAGTTGGACAGCGTTAGTTTATGTTCACGAGCTCACAGTACAAGAACCAGGTTTCATCTTACATCCAATGAAATGCTTTTTGCACTGCAGTTTCGGTTTCCACTTAACTGCCTGGGCTGGTTATCAAGCCGGTGGCGTGATAGGCAGACATTTGCCCTTGTCTTAGTGCGCCTAGGCATTAATCTAAATATGTTGTGCATATCCCTTTAGAGTTAACGTACTTCTGCAGAAGACCTTAAACTTGAGTCTCGAACTAACCAAGTCGCATCCGTCCGGTTCGCCGGTTTTGGCGGCCGGCTAGGGCAGCTAGAGATCTCCGCGGCGTACAACGCTACATGTCTGTCCGGCACCACGCCAAACTTCTTCGGCCAGCAGCCAGCAGATCATTCCGTGCTAGCCCGGGCAAACTCTCCCCAACTCGTCTGTTCACTCACGCACTGTTCCCGCATGCAATATCACTCACAGAGAAATAACAAGGTAACACTCTTTTACCAATTATCCACCTGCCACTGGCTCTCAATTCATTCCGGGAATATCCATACATTGTTGAAATGCATGGAAGGAAGGAGAGAATGAATGCCAGGGCACCTCAGTTTCCGTGACTATGGTTTGTGACAATGAGTTCATTTTTTTCAGGTGTGTCGAAAGTGGACATGACACCAAAATATTCCCCATTTGGTTACAATTGATTCATACGACGTGTTTCGTGACCTTGACAGTTGCCTTTCGTTGCTTTTTTTACGTTTGAGGGCAAGGGATGTCACGAGCATCAATATCTATCCATTTGGCGTAATCGCTTAAAATACGAAGAAATAATAAGGTACCTTGTTTAACGCGACTTTGACCCTTGACATTGCTGGTGACGGGTTATTCTGTTTACAGTTATGATGAAAGCGAACATCACGAGCGTTAACACCATACCCATTTTGTCTCAATTGTTCATAAACAGAGAAAGGTCATGGCACTCAGCTTTCGTGACCCTGACATTGCACCTCGCGAGATATGCAGTTGAGGTGCGACGGAAGCGCATATCATGAGCACCAACATGAAACCCATTTTGTTGCAATCGCTTAAAAAAAGGACAGGGTGCCCTATTTGCGGGACCTTCACCGTTAACCTGCAGTTATTTTCTTTCAAATGTGACGAAAGTAGATATCACGACTGCCGACGACATGCCCATATCGTAACAAACGCTTCAGAAACAAGGAAATGCCAGGGTATTCCATTTTCGTGACCTTGAACTTTGATTTTGAGTATGTTTTTGCACGTTGACGGAAGTGGATATAACGACCATCTATGCGCCACCCGCTCTACTGGATTCCTTTTATAGTGATGTGAACGTCCGACCTAGCGCTGTGCTGCCGTAATAAAACGACCCCCTGGTTTGAGGATCCATTGCAAAACATCTCGGGCAAAACAGGGACCAAACTGACCACGAGACAGGGGGACAGTTGCCCCCAATTTTGGCCAAATTTACCATAAATCCTGTAGCGGTATATGGAAAAATGAGGTAAGTATCACGCATGCCCCCCCCCCCCCCCCCCCCCCTCTTTTCGCCATTTCTCAACAGGCACTGCACCAAAGCACCAGCTGACTTGCGTCTAAAAACTGCAAAAGTCGCATAAGCCCTCACTGTCAGCCGGTTCGGTAAGAAACTTGTGCAGGGCAGTGTAAAAAAACTAGCAACTAGTTGAAAGGGACAGGGCCACTACAGTCTGCGCGCACGCACTGCAATAGCCACGACACTTTCCTCCAATAAAGGCTCCGATCAGAGTCAAGCCATGGCGTGACACCTCCGATTGGAGTCCAGCCGTGATGTGACACCTCCGATCGGAGTCCAGCCGTGATGTGACACCTCCGATTGGAGCCCAGCCGTGCCGTGACACTGCGACTCCGCGGAAACGGCATATCCGAGCTCGTTCGGATCTGTCGCCTGTAGAACGCGGCCGTCGCCGCCAACGCGGAGGTGCGCGGAGCGTGTGCAGACCCTGACTCCGGGATCGATTGTCGCCATGCCACTCTCTCTCGCAAACACACGCGCACACGCGGCTGGTCCCGGCACCCAGACCGAACGACACGAAATTAGTGCTGCGGCAAAAACGCCCACAGACAGGAGTGCTACGACACAACATAAGCACCGCATTACGTGTGTTGTAACTTTTAAAAACTTAGCTTATTCGCGACATTGTTTCTACTGCAAGGAACTATATGTGGCGTTGGTGCCACAGAATACAACTTAAAGTGATACCGAACTTACCTTGAAAAAGCCTATGCCCGTCATTTTTCTGCTGTAAAATAGTCTTACGTGTCAGCGATTTAACTTCTTCGGCCAACGTACGCGATTTTTGGCGATATGACACGGGCCATACTATACACACCCTTAACGCCAGTACTCCAAACTATAGCTTAGCTTCACTAAAATCCTGGAGGGAACGAACATATGGGAGCACTGGGCTGGGCAAAATCAGACCGCACCTTTCCAGTCCAGGCTTTGGAACATTATTGCTGCTGGAAATATTGCGACCGTCTGATCCACGATAATAGTCCTACGCGAAAATTGTTCTACTGAAAAAACGTATGACATTCTGTCATTGTATTGCAAAATAAGTTGGTAACTCAGGGGAAAACAGCCAAACCCGCTCCATGATGTATGAAATGAGACGTTTGCCCCGAAACGTGACACACCTTCCATCACAGATCAGTGGTGGATGGGGTCCCTGACTGAATTCAAAACTACACCCTTGGTTTGGCGTTCACTGAAACGTGAGGTACTTCCACGACAAGGGGAGGAGCGAGAGCGAGAGCAGAGCCAGGCAGAGCCAAGCCAGAGGCCAGAGCCAGAGCAGCAGAGCCAGAGCCAGAGGCAGAGCCAGAGCCAGAGACAGAGCCAGAGCCAGAGCCAGAGCCAGAGCCAGAGCCAGAGCCAGAGCCAGAGCCAGAGCAGAGCAGAGACAGAGACAGAGACAGAGACAGAGACAGAGACCAGAGACAGAGGAGAGACAGAGCCAGAGACAGAGACAGAGACGAGACCGAGACAGAGACAGAGACAGAGACAGAGACAGAAAGAGACAAGGACAGAGACAGAGACAGAGACAGAGAAGAGACAGAGACAGGACAGAGACAGAGACAGAGACAGGACAGAGACAGAGACAGAGACAGAAAGCCAGAGACAGAGACAGAGACGAGACAGAACAGAGGACAGACAGACAGAGACAGAGACAGAGACAGAGGACAGAGACAGAGACGAGACAGAGACAGAGAGCAGAGACGAGACAGAGACAGAGACAGAGACAGAGAGACAGAGACAGAGACAGATGAGAGAGAGAGAGAGAGAGAGCAGGACGAGAGAAAGGGCGAAGAGGGAGAGGGGAGAGGAGGAGACGAGAGAGGGAGAGGAAGAAGAGAGAGAGAGGAGAGAGAGGAAAGCGAGAGGACGAGAGAGAGAGCGAGAGCGAGAGGAGCGAGAGAGAGAGCGAGAGCGAGAGGAGGCGAGAGCGAGAGAGAGAGAGCGAGGAGAGAGCGAGAGCGAGAGCGAGAGCGAGAGTCGAGAGAGCGAGAGCGAGAGCGGAGAGCGAGAGCGAGAGCGAGAGCGAGAGCGAGAGCGAGAGCGAGAGCGAGAGCGGATCGAGAGCGAGAGCGAGGAGCGAGAGCGAGAGAGAGAGAGAGAGGAGAGAGAGAGAGAGAGAGAGGAGAAGAGAGAGAGTGAGAGAGAGAGAGAGAGGCAGAGAGAGAGAGAGAGAGAGAGAGAGAGAGAGAGAGAGAGAGAGAGAGAGAGAGAGAGAGAGAGAGAGAGAGAGAAAGTATGGTATGGAGTTCTCCAAAGTTCACGGGCTGCAGGACATTAATGATGGAATTCTGTCGTGCAAGGCGGCCAGGTTAAACGGCTGAACATATTCCTGCCGTGTGCCTGAATGTTAAAACAGCTCTTAGTTACTTACATAACGCTGCGCTCGAACCCGAGCCCGAGGCAAACTAACGAGCTCGCAAGGATGCACTCCAACAACGCTCTGCGGCGCGACTCCTTTGAAGACCTCGCCTCGTGCCGCGCCAGCACGAGAACGGCACACGGCACACGTGCCGCCGGCGGTGTTTGTTTTTCTCCGGCATTCGAAGCACAATGTAGCGGGGTCGCGAGCGCCGGCGCGCTGGAGCGGGGGTGCCACGAGACCGCCGACGGATCGATCAAACGTGCCCACGTGACGGGCAGCACGCGCTCGCTCGGCACGGGGCAGGCGGCAGGGGAGGCGGAAGCGGCTGCCGACACTCGCCCACGGCTGGTGGAGGGTGTCGCCGACTCACCTGAGCCGCTCCATTAGCGGGCACCCGAGCCAAATGATCGGGCGAGGGGGGAGGGGTAAGGAAGGGAAATTCCTGACCTTTTCTGCCCCGATGGACCTAGCGACATCCTGGTTGGGTAGCGTGGCGGTGGTGGTGGTGGGGGGTCTTGTGACTGAACGCCAGGCAAAAAGACACAGTAAGCCGAGTTTTGCTATACAGTGTACACGGAAAATCTGCCGCCGATGTCGAGACTGGCTCGGCGGCGCGGCGGACAGAATGTGCTACATGCACCGAGGAAGGCCTTTGGGACACGTCGACGGCGAATGGTCATGCAGCTATGGGTGATGCCGCTCGGCCGATCTGGTACCTTGCACGCCACCCAAGCCGACGCCTCGAACTCGACTAAGCTCATGCCAATGAGGCAGCAATACATACCTCTGCGCAATGGGTACCGAAAATCCACCATCTTCACGTCCGGGCACTCATGTTCCGGAAACGGCTGCGTGCCGGCCGCGTCGGATGTCGGGTACTGCTGCCCGACATCCTCCGGGGCCGCCCGGGGAAGACTCCTGCTGCTGCTGCTGCTGCTGGTGGTGCTGCTCAGCCCTGGGTCGGCTCCCGCCGCGGCCCACCCTGTACCCGTTGGCCGCCGTGGTGCCCTTGGGTCGGCCTAAGCCCACCTTGTAGCCATTAGCCGCGGTGGTGCCCTTGGGACGGCCTGAGCTGACCTTGTACCCGTTGGCAGCCGTCGTGCCTTTGGGCCGGCCACCGCTAACCTTGTAACCATTGGCGCGGGTGGTGCCCTTCTTGCGGCCGCCGCGCAAGCCGACATTGTACCCGTTGGCGCGGGTGGTGCCAACCGGTCGACCTAGTACCTTGCGCGCCACCCAAGCGCCGGAGCTTTTCGTCTGGCCCTTCTTGCGGCCGCGCTGCTTCTTCGGCGGCTCGTCAGGCGGCGCGACGATCGCGCAGTGGCCAATGAGCGGTGCGTGGGTGGAGTCGACCGGGGGCGACATCTGTTGGTGACAGGGCGGCAGCGAGCTGGGCGCGGCGGGGGCGCCGGCCGGCGGCGGCTGGCCCGGCGGCCCGTACATGCCGGCCGCGTAGTGCGGCGGCGGCCCCGGCGGCTGGTGTGGCGCCGGCTGGCCCGGCTGGTACGGCAGGCTCAGGCCGCCCGCCACTGGCAGGTGGCCGCCGCCCGGTAGGCCCATGTTCAGCGCGCTCCACAGGAGGTCGTATACCACCCGGCCATTGTTCGGCGCTGCCGTCGCCTTCAGCACACGCTCCGGAATGTGAAAGCTGTGGGTGTCGTCCATTATCGCCTGCAAACAGAAAAGGTTCGTCAGGTCACGGTTTGTCACGGCCGGCCTCAGAACAGCCTGTAATCCGGGAAGTCGATCGTGCTCTGCCGATCAGCCCACGCAACGCGTGCAACACAGGTCGACGGGACCAAGAGTACGACGATAGCACGCCGAGGAAGCCGACTCCGTACTGGGAAGCACGCTTTGCAACGGACGCGACGAAAACATCTTACGATGACAGGAAGTGCAATGTAGGTAGCTGAGATACACGAACTGAATGGAAAGGACAAAAACGTACTTTGGCGTCCACCGCGTCATCACGTCCCCACACTCGTGCCATAGTAGTGTCGGCACTTGTCACCACACTCGTGCCCTAGTAGTACGCACGGATCCCAACGGAGCAATTTCTAGCGAAGACGAGGGCGTCGCGTACAGGTCCTAATCCAACGTGTGTTCTACAATCAGAACGTATCCGCCACAGACCGTGTTTATTCGGCCAATATCCACGTTTCCTTTGATCGTTTGGAACCTTCGCTGCCTGTACTGAGGTTAAAATAAAATATTGTAATGCTATGGTTGTATTGCTTTACATAGCTTATTGGGCCACAGATACTTACGGTATCAAACCAACGGAAAGTGCACGCCAAGAACGGTGAATGTGGCGCACGCAGAGGGCGAGGAAGTTGCGTACAATTGAGGAAATAACAGTCGGCAGGAAATAACAGTCGGGGAAATGACAGTCCAGCAAAGTGTAGCAGCTAGCTTCGTACTCAGTGATAATTTTTAAGGGCACCACACGTGCGGTTTCTACACGGCTAATTGTAGATAATAATTTTTCGCGAGGCTCTCTCTTTCTATCGTTTATTTCACACGTGAAATTACCAGAATAGGTGGTGGGGTTCACTGTTCACTAGGTGTTGAAAACCTCCCGCCCATACAGAAAATACAGCTGTATGAGAAGTAACACGCTTTCCGTTGCCAAGTAAAACAATGAATTCTGCTTGCGAGAACTGTAATCAGGATCACCAACATCCGTTAACTTGTCAATTTTCACAACAAATTCTCATGTTACTTCTTCTACAAGCACAACACTTTGCTTAAAACTCCATGCTCGTTACAACTACCAAAACATAGCCATCACACCGCTATTCATACGTACCACTTACGTACGACAAACCTGTCCAGTTCGCTGTCGCTCGATAGCGAAGGGCATCGAGCCAAACGTGGCGCGAAGATAGGCATTGCACAGGAGATTAGTCAGCCCGGTCATGCAAAACAAACGACAAACAAACGAGTCGGGTCCACATGTTTGCCATAAGCAGGCAACATTCACCACCGGGGATCAGTACAGGTCTCACAGCATACAAGAATCAAGGGCTTTGGCATGTTACCGAAGGACGCAGCGTATGCAGGCGTAGTTCAACCCGCGAGTTGGCCACAGTCCATTATGTTCAACAAGCGACTGTCTCTAATGACGCATTACCTCGTGACAAACATAAGAAAATAAAGTGATCGTTACTCAAAACCATATATATATATATATATATATATATATATATATATATATATATATATATATATATATATATATATACCTGTATTACCTGGCTACTCGGTATCCAGTCTGCGCAAGCAACACAAGGAACACGTCACGTCACATCATGGCACGCATCCTGGTACGGTCACGGAGCCAATTATGCATAATGGTGGCAGAGATCACGCCCGAGGACACACCGGGGGCGCGCGGCTCGACCGCGCGGCGGGTGCGGCGCTGGAGCACGGCACCGGTACCGCAGCTCGGCTGCCGCGCTGGAATGTCGCGCGGCGTCCTCTGAGAGGCGCGGCGCGCGGTGTCGACGTGCAGCGTTTCGCAAGCGCTTAAACCGCCGTGCTGCCGTACCATGGCGGTCCAGCCGCACCATCCTGATGTGTTCAGCACGATTGTTGTGCAGTTCGACAGCCGCCTGTCACCAGCAGGGTCGCTTTGTAGGTAACCGTCTCCACTATGCTCAGGTGGCAATCTGCCGCCCGCCCCAAACGGACAGGCGCTGGCGGATGTGGAGAAGGCATGCTGCTGGACGAGCGAGTATTTCAGCGAGTGCGGATCCAGATAACGTCACAATCTGAGCCATGGCACCACGACTGCTTAAGGATGCCGAGCGCCAGTGGATGTGCTATCCCAGGTCTGGCGTCGATCGATCCACACGCCCCGTACTCTGACTTCGGTCTGTCCACACGCCTCGTACTCTGGCGTCGGTCGATCCACACGCCCCGTGCTCTGGCTTTGGTTAGTCCACACGCCCCGTACTCTGGCGTCCATCGATCCACACGCCTCGTACTCTGGCGTCGGTCGATCCACACGCCCCGTACTCCGGCGTCGGTCGATCCACACGCCCCGTACTCTGGCGTCGGTCGATCCACACGCCCCGTACTCTGGCGTCGGTCGATCCACACGCCCCGTAATCTGGCTTCGGTCAGTCCCCACGCCTCGTACTCTGGCGTCGGTCGATCCACACGCCCCGTACTCTGGCGTCGGTCGATCCACACGCCCCGTACTCCGGCGTCGGTCGATCCACACGCCCCGTACTCCGGCGTCGGTCGATCCACACGCCCCGTAATCTGGCGTCGGTCGATCCACACGCCTCGTACTCTGGCGTCGGTCGATCCACACGCCCCGTACTCCGGCGTCGGTCGATCCACACGCCCCGTACTCTGGCGTCGGTCGATCCACACGCCCCGTACTCTGGCGTCGGTCGATCCACACGCCCCGTACTCCGGCGTCGGTCGATCCACACGCCCCGTAATCTGGCTTCGGTCAGTCCCCACGCCTCGTACTCTGGCGTCGGTCGATCCACACGCCCCGTACTCTGGCGTCGGTCGATCCACACGCCCCGTGCTCTGGCGTCGGTCGATCAGCACGCCCCGTACGCTCACTGACCTGGGCGATGTATGGCTCGTTGGTAACTTTAATGCAAAAGTTCCCGGCCACCAGTCCTATATTCGCGGAAGTTCCAGCACAAACCAGTGTGACATTCGGGCCGGTGCAAATAGAGCAAGTCTTGGTTAATCTGAATGATCCCGGTTTTCAAATGAAACATCGCTTCAAACACGTATACATCGTAAAACGGACGGCACTGTAAAGTAACTCCAAGGAGCTTTTATATTTAATTAAATAATTGTTTTACTACTCGTCGTCATTAGGGCTTTACGGCGCAACCATTTGCTGAGGCTACGTGGCGTCGCCTGCCTCTCACCCTGGCAGGAATGGCGGGCAACGCGGGGAATCGACCTGCGTGTCTCTGGTTTCCCAGACGCGCAGAGGCCGACGCGAACGCGTAACCACTACACTACCGGCACCCTTTGTGTTGCTTTTTAGCCCGTTGGGCGACCAGCCGTCGGGCGACCCACGACACATTCCGATACCGCTGATACCTGATCCCCACGGATGAAAGTCCATAAAAATATACGTCCAAAGTAGAACAACTGGTTCCAAAAGTCTCATCGTTCTTTAACTCCTCTAACCTAACTCCGTGCGTGGCGATCTCTAATGCGGCACTAGCTCTGCTCCAGGGTCGCGCCATGAGATAATCTTATCAGATCGGTCACCCTCGGCTGTGAGCGACACGCTGCGACAAAGTGTAAAGCATGGCTCGATCGGGAGTACGCCCAGTCATAATCACGTAAAGTGCACAAAGTTCAGTGGCATCATCACACTTGTGCCTTGTTACTGGAAATGGGCGCAGATCTTGGTGAGGCACTGCGCCCCTCTATATCAATGGAGTATGAAAGGCAAGGTATGAAACATGTTACTACGAAGCTGAAGCTACCTAAGCATCATATTACTTGTTGGTCATGTTCCCTTTGGATAGAAGTTTTTAGCACTGCGGCACTCGTTAGGAAGGAAGCGCTATGGCGATGTGTCCCAACAGTCCCATACAGAACACAACAGCGGCGTATGGCGTCCTCGCTACGACTGATTAGAGCTCAACTCTCTCGACACTGTAGTAAGCCAAAGAATGTACCATGTACCGCCGTATGCAGGTATACCGTAATTCACGCCAGTGCCGGGATCGAACAGTACAAAGAATTGGTAAAGGTCAAAGCCATCAGGTGGAAAACGTTGCTGGTAAACAGTAGGTTAGCAGACAGTAGACAACGGACGGGTTGGTTGCATAGTAGCGAGGCCCCGGCGACGGTTAAAACTGGCACGCGCCGGAACAAGTTACGAACATTCACCAGAGACCTTTTTACTTGGGCAAGCGCGTTTTCCAAATGGGACGAGCGGCACCTAGCGTTCCATGGGCGAGGCAAGTGCACGATCACTGTCCATCAAGTACTTACTGTCTCAGTGACTTGCCAGCTGCTGCAATCAAGTTTCAAGTAGGGCACAGGGTTTCTCCAAATTGGGCATATGGTCGATTATCCACCGTGCACAGGCTGCGTGGAGACGCACACGACTTGGAGACCACACACACGACCTGCCGCAAAGCGCGGCTTATGCGCGCTGGGATTCCTCCAGTCTCAACACGGTACCTGCACGTCTTTGGCCACACAAAATACGTCAAAACACACCCCAAAGGACAAATTACCATCAAAAGAGTTTCGCCACCAAAACATACAGGTTTGTCCGGCACCCATCAGTCGCTGTCCGAACCATGGGGGCATTCAGCCCACCAGCTGACACCGTTACGTCACGCCTCTGTTACGCCTCCGTCACTCGTCATCTGAAAGAGTGGAGGTTCCATAATCCCATTCGAGGTGGGTCAGGGGGACACACCCCACCCCACCCCCACCCGCTCCATTGTCGGACTTCGCTCGGCATTGGTCTGCTTCTGGATTAGAGACGACGGTACTGGCTGCAGCAAGAGTGATATGCAGCAGAACTGGGTGGCGCAAGTCTGTTCACTGTGGAGCGAGGGAGCACTTCACTGCGCCACGATAACAAGCGCGGTAGCCCGTTAACGACTGACAGCGAGTTTTCGGTAAGGCGTGTCAACTTTAGCCCACGTGGCATCGTTGAA